TTTATTGAGTATGAACATCCAAAATAGATACTTTTAGCAGGCATTTGACTATATGCAGACTGAGTCTGATATTTAGGGGGAGAGATCAGAAGATAGAGGAGAATTTGAATCACAGGAGTCCATGAGATGTTCCAAAAAAGAAGAGAGTGACAAGATACAAATGTCAAGTATAAAAACACTGGTGAAGAACAGTGTGAGAAAATTCCAGGGGGTAGAGTTTTGAGAAGGAGAGAAGGGCCAGTATAGGAGGCTGAATAATGGCTTCCCTAAAGATGTCTGGCCCTTATCCCTGGAACCTATGAATGTTACCTTACATGGGGAAGGTTTTGCAGATGTAGTTAAGAATATTAAGAGGGAGATTATGCTGAGATCCAAGTGGGTCCTAAGTGCTTATATACACGCAGAAAATGTGACCACAGAGGCTAACATGGGAATGATGCAGCCACAAGCCGAGGAATATACCTCCAGCCACAAAAAGCTGGAGGAGGCAAGGAACAGATTCTTCTCTAGAAATTCTGGAGAGAGTGCAACTGTGCTGGTGCTTTGGTTTTTGCCGATTGAAATTGATTTTAGATTTCTGGCCTCTAGAATTGTGTGAGAATAATTTTTTTAAGCTAACAAATCTTTGCTAATTTGTTGGAGTAGCTTCAGGAAACTAATATCATTGGCTATGTCAAATGTAGTAGAGACTCCTTTAAAGTAAGAACTGAGAACTCTCAGCTAGATATAGCAGCATGAGGCCATTGATGAACTTGCAGAAAATTATTTTGGTGGAAAGTAGACAAAGAGATTGTAAAGGATAAAACTTATTTTTCCCCACTCCCTAAATCCATACTAGCACTGGAAATCAGGGAAGTTGCCTGATTTCCAAAAAACCTGAGAAACTTCTCAATTAGAAAAATCATACCTAACACAGTGGCAATTTAACACTGAAAGGGACAGCAGATCTGTTTTCCCAGGAACCTTTAAGCCCCTGAAGAAGTGGGCAGGGGTCAAACCATCCATAGACAGCAGGCAGTGGGACTGTGGAGCCACAGCAGGAACCCAGTGTTCCGTACTGTGAGTGGCATTGTGTCAGGGTGCAGCTGACAGGTCTCTGCACACACGAGCATTAGGATTGGAGGGAGAAGCAGATCAGTGTCCCAGGAAACTTCAGGTCATCCAATGGGCACCAGAAGTAGGAAAAATCAGCTGGGACCATGGCAAAAATCCTTCAGATTAATTTTTGAATTTCCTCCATTGGGTTGGTCAACCTCTTCCTAACCAGGATACACTGAAGGGAAGGAAGCTCCATTCTCTGTTCACGTGGTTGTAACAAAATATCATAAACCCAGTGGCTTATAAACAATAGAAACTTACTTCTCATAGTTTTAAAGGCTAGGAAATCCAAGATCTATGCTGGAAGATTTGGTGGCTGGTGAGGGCATTTTCTTAATAGAAGATGAGTTCTGTATCCTCATGTGGTGGGAGGGGATAGCTAGTGTTTTGGGGCCTCTTGTATAAGAGTGCTAATCCTATTCATGAAGGCTCTACCCTCCTAACATAATCACCTCCCAATGGCCCCACCTCCTAAAACCATTATATCAGGGATTAGGTTTCAACATATAATTTTGAGGGGACACAAACATTCAGTCTATAGCATACATCTCAATAAACTCACCTCAGTAACTCTGGAGAAGCTAGTGCTGTTGACTGGTTTGGACTGCTAAGGAAACAGAAGATGACTTTCATAGTTCCTGAAGAAACCCAACCTACTATAACCAGTGATTAATGCAGAGGTTTATTTTTCAACTTTTTTATTTTGAGATAATTATATGTTGAAATTGCAAAGGTAGTGGAGAGAGAGGTCCTGTGTACTTTTCAGCACACAATTACATCTTATGAAACTATAGTACAGTGCCAAACCAGGAAGTTGACATTGGTACCTGTGTGTGTATAGTCTTTATGTCATTTTTCACGTCATTTTTCACATGTGTAGATATGTGTAAACACAGTAAAGATGCAGAACTATCACCACAGAGACATCCCTCATGATAACTCTTTACATCCCACCCTCTGACCCCTGGAAACCACTAACCTTTCTTCTATCTCTATGATTTTTTTTTTTTTCATTTTGAGAATGTTATATAAATGGAATCATGGGGTTTGAGATCTTTTAAAATTGACTTCGTTTTCATTCATCATAATGCCCTTAAGATCATCCAGGTTGCTATAGCAATAGACTGTTCATTTTTATTACTGAGTAGTCATCCATTGTGTAGATGTGCCACAATTTAATCATTCATCATTTTAGATTACTTTGCTTGTTTCCAGTTTCTTGGCTATTACAAATAAAGCTGTATGAGCAATTGTGTACAGGTTTTTGCATTGACAAAAATGTTCTTTTTATCTAGAATAAATGCCCAGGACCTGACAAGAACAACTCAGAGGAGAAAAACAACTCTATTGCTCTGGGCCCAGTGAAGGAAATCTGCTCAGTTCATGCTGAGGTTAAGAGAGAAAAAGAGACAGACAGACACAAACCCAGAGGGATTTGAGTTTATTTAGAGAACACTTTGGGTAATGTGGAGACTTGTTTACAGAAAAACATACGAGGCTGGTACAACCATCTTCAACTGTTTTATGTACTGTAACAGAAGACCAGAGACTGGGTAATTCAAAGAGAAAATAAATTTCTCACAGTTCTAGAGGCTGGGAAGGCCAAATCAAAGTGCTGGCTTTGGGGAGAGCCCACTTGTGTCAGGATATGGCAGAGGGCATCACATGGCAAGACAGTATATACAAGAGAGGGAAGAATGCCTTTCTTGCAATGACAGTGTTTATTCATGAAGGTTCTGCCCTCATGACCTAATCACCTCTTAAAAGTCACACCTCTAAACATTGTTGCATTGAAGATTAAGTTTCCAACACATAATCTTCGGGGGAACACAGTCAAATCATGATAGTTGGAAATTATGTCAGGTAATTTGTCAGGTCCTGTACTAGAATGGCAGAATGGACAAGGTGAGAAAGTGACTGCATTTGAGATATAATTGGTAGAACTGAAAAAACTTGATTCTGGATGCAGCATATGAGGGAGTTGGAAAAGAATGGCATCTACATTTCTGGCATGCACAACTGCGTATTATTTCTAGAAATGAGGCATATGAGACAAAATCTGGGGAAAGCAATATGTTCATGCTGGACACGCTAATTTGAGATGCCAAATCACACCCATGAATAGAGGCCAACTAGCTGTATATCTGAAACTTGGAAGAGAGATTTAGGCTGGAACTATAGAAAAAGGAATCCTCAGAATACAGATGAAGCCGTGAGAATGCAGGCTCAGGAAAGAAAAGGATCTGGAGATAGCCAGAGAAGAAACCCCCAAAGAGACTAAGGAATGGTCAGAGAAATAGAAATCAGGTGTGATGTCAAGAGAAGTTCAAGAGAACGTTATTTTTAAAGAAATAAATGGTCAATTTTAAATGTTAGGTTAAAAGAATCAAAACATACACCTTGGGCTGGGGCCATAGCTCAGGGGTAGAGTGCTTGCCTAGCACGCAGGAGACCTGGAGTTGATCCCTACCACCTTGTACAAAAAAAAAAAAAAAGACAAAACAGATATAACTTATAGCATTTAACTGACCTAGAGAATTTAATTTTAACTCAAATAGTTAAGTTGTTCTGACTTTGCTGGACCTAGTCCTGTTTCATATGAATAACCAGGAAGCGTGCTGTTGAGTCAGCAAGCACTGCCTCCCTATTAATGTAAAGTCTGATCACGAATAACAATGACTGATGCTGTTTGAGGCTTTTTGCACTTTGCACCCCTGTAGTTTGGTAAGAATTAAAAACTCTCAGGTTGGGGAAAGAACTATAATGTGTGTGTTTTTTTTAAACCACTGAGCCATATCCCCAGTCCTTTTTGAAGTAGGGACTAACTTGCGCAGGTTGGCTTTAAACCTGCAATCCTACCTCAGCTTTTTGAGTTGCTGGGATTATAGGCATGCACCACAGTGCCCACCAGCCTATACCATATTTTTCCTCCTGTTTTTTTTTTTCTTTCTTTCTTTCTTTGTGTGTGTGTGTGTGTGTGAGAGAGAGAGAGAGAGAGAGAGAGAGAGACAGAGGTAGGTAGGTAGGTAGGTAGATTGGTAGGTAGATAGATAGATAGATAGATAGTTATATGCTGGGGACTGCACCCAGGGATTCATGAATGCTAGGTAACCACTCTACCCCCCGCCCTTTTTCTTCCCAATTCAGTAAAGTGCTTAGACCACAGTACTCCAATGTTTCCTTTCAGGTGACTGATAAGTCATCTATGCTTATTATTTGAACCTCTGGCTCTATTACTTTTTCTGTTCTTTACATGGGTTCATCAATAAGGTAATGTAACTTTAAACAGTTTCATCACTAATAGTCCAATATATTCTAAACCAACTATCAGAACTTTCTGCAATGATGAGAATATTCTGTATCTGACTCCCCTGTCCAATATGGCAGCCACCAGCTACATGTGGCTACTAAACTCTTCCAATGTGGGTAGTGTGACTGATTGAGTCAATTTAATTCTTAACTAAATTTTAATGGCATACTTTTGCATTTGATAGTGAAAAGTGTTTATTGTTAAGTTAATCCTGTTGAATGTCTTAGAGATAGAACAGTACACACTAAATATTTGGTTTAAAAAAAGCTAGTAACTCACTACTGTTTTGCATTTAATTTTGCCTATCTTGCTAAATTTCAATCCAAATCTATAAGAAAAAAATTAAAAAAGGAAAAGGAAAAGAAAAAGGTACATTCATATCTTTTTAATAATTCAACATGAACATATTCTCTTAAAGATCTCTTCTTTACTGATAGACAAACAAAAATAATTATTTAATGAATAAATACTTTTTTTTCCGGCCATAGCAGTAAAAAAACCAACCAAACAACAACAACAAAAAAAACACTGGTAGAAGCAAGAGCTGACAAATACAAAAGCTTATATACAATAATTCATATGCTACTTCAGCTGATACTATCACTTTATTGAAAATATTCCTATTTAGGAACACTATACAAACAGTTAATTGGTAAGAAAATAAAAAGCAGATTCCTTACGTTTAATTAGCTTGCAATTACCAGTTTCTCAAATGAGAATATAAACTACTTGTGATAGAAGAAATAATTATCCTGTCTATGGATGACATAAGCAACTTGACTAGAAAAGAACCAATGAACAGGAATCAGATATAATTCCAATTTGGCCAGTTCATTTTTATAAGTGAAATGAAATAGTCAATTTTCCTCATTAATATACTCAGTTTATCTTTACTTCCAAGATTCATAAAAATTTATTCAAATAATCCAACGAAGTCTAGCATTATGTTTTTTAATGTGTAAAGGATAATGAATCTCTTATGCTGTGATAAAGAAAAAACTAGTACCTCATGAAAAAAGATGTAATTAAAGCCAAATATAAAATTAAAAAATGTAGCTTCTTGATATAGCTAAATCACTGTATTAGAAACATGTACATTACAGTTCTAAGAGTGGAGCAGGAGGCATTTAAAAGGTTCCTTATGTTAACCAAATGGACAAATTCTCAAAGGATGAAAGCAACTTATGAGCCTGTCAACATATTGCTGGGAAAAACTAATAAATTTAAAACATAAAAGTAGTGGGCAAAAATATCTGACTAGAAAGCGAAAAAAAAAAAAAAATCCCAGGTTTAATTAAGTTTTTTGTCCACTTTAAATAAGAGCTTATTTATTAACTTTTTTTCAAATGGGCATTTTTTATTTGCACAGATACATAAAAGTGATTCCCATTTTAAAAAACATACTAAAAACATACATTAACCACAAAAGTACTTACTTTGAAAGGAAAACGAGCATGGCTATTTTCAAAATAACAACAAATACAAGAAGCCAACTTATGTAAATCATGACAAGTGTACATCTCGTTTTTGACAAAAATAAGTTCCATTTTTACATTAATGCTTTATTATCAGCTTTTATATTAGATCCTCCAACCTTATGTACATTTACTATGAAATTTCTATCAGTATGTATAACTCAAAGGCACTCAATTCAGAGATTACAAAGTCCTGAGCTTAAGTATGAAACAGGATTCTCAACTAAAATTTGAACATAAATAATTCTCAAGATCAGAGAACATGAAAATGTTTAAAACTGTAATATTTGATACATAAATAATTCATAACCTAATAATAAAAGTATACAGAATGTCAAAGATAAGACCATGTAAGGCAAAGGAATATTCTCAGAATCAAACTGATTTTTCCCTCATTCAAGTTCATTTGAAGGTCTAAAGCTGACTTTTGTTACTGTTGAAATCCCAGGAAAACTAAATGAGAAAAAAAAAAAAGCATGAAAATACTTAAGTTTTTAAAAAAGTTCCTCAGCTTAGTCTCCCCCAAACCATGAAAAACATATTTAATGATTAAAAACAACTGTAGACTGTAGATTGGAATGATATTAAACTAAATGGGGGAATTAAAATGAGTAGTTGAAAAAAATCAAAGGACAGCTTTAAAGGCACGAATTGAAATAGCATTTGTAATTGGCTGTTCAAATTATTCCTTTAGCATTCTTTTAGCAAAATAAAAATAAATTTACAGATGGATGAGGTTCACTTAACATTAGGCAGGATCAAATTTTAATAAAAATTAAATCTATATTTTGTTGCAAAGAAATGTAAAATTTACCTACAGCAATTTTCTACTAATGCTAAATTAAAAGCATGGGTTGACATCTTTATTATGCATGGTTTGGGATGTTTTCTTGGCTTTAAAATGCTTTTTCATATATGCATAGAAATGTGACAAATGTAAGAACTATCTTCTGAATTATCTGTACAGTTCATAAGGCCTTTGTTAATATTAGTCACCTTAGATATGAATATCAGTAAGGCCATTAAATTAAAGCTGGCCTAAAAAGTTTTCAAAGTGCTACTGTTTCCAACTGATGAGGATCCTCAGTTTTCTGGATTTTCTGGGTGACGATTGTTTTCAGTTCTTTTTTCTGGTGATATATACAAGAAGTTACAGCATATATATAAAGGGAAGATCAGAAGCCTGCTGTCCAAGTTCATCACCACTTGTTCCTATAAGACAGATTTGTATGTTTAATGACAACTGAATAGCAATATTTAAAAAGCCAAATTAACTAAAAAAACCAAGCTACTGAATTGAGTGAACCAAAAGAGGTAACATGGAATTAAGAGTTTGTGCCTGGAGACCAAGAGCCACAGCTCAAATCTCAAAAACTCTTGCCCACTAAATGTGTGACCCTGTCAACTGCAGCTTCCTTGCTATAAAATGGGGACAAGAAGAATAACCATTTTACAGGATTATACTGGGGATCAAATGAGACAATGTACAGAAGGTTTTGTAAAGCAGCTATATATTAAATAATAGTGGTAGTTATTTTCATTATTGTAAAAATTTCTGTCAAGTTCATATATACTTTATGGAAGAATTGGTGAACTGGTAAAGTGAACCTCTTACTTGGCTTCAGGTGGGGAAGTCATAATTATCATCATCAAGCAGGGTTTCTGCTCCCATTTAAAAGTTCCCACTGTCCCAATAACAAACATGTTACTTGTCTCCTGGCACGTAAAACATTATCATGTAAAAGCAATTTCAGGTTCAATTATAACAATAAACATGGGAATGCTATGAACTCTCTCCAAAGACTGAAGCTGATGCTATACCCAAGAATGTCAAATATAACCATTATTGATGTTACAGATCTCTTTTTGGAATCTAACATATGCTTTAGCAGCAACATTTAGCAAACAAAACAAATCCTGAGTAAAAGAAGCAACACTGAGGGGCTGGGGTTGTGACTCAGTGGAACATTGCCTAGCATGTGTGAGGCACTAGGTTTGATCCTCATGGTATTATGTAAAAATAAATAAATAAATGTATTGTGTCCATCTGCAAATTAAAAAAAAAAAAAAGCAGCAGCAGCAATAGTGAAATGAGAATTCCTACTTTTTAAATATTTGAAATACATTCCATACAATAGTGTGCACTAGTTTCACTATTTAATCTAGAGTTTTACATTTTTTACTGAAGCAATGAAAATGAACTAAAAATAGAATATTGATTGACTCTAGTAGGCTTAACTGAACACAGCTTCTGTGTTGTTGGAGTAGCAAGATAATTGGATAAAGATAGTTGGATAAAGATAGGGAATACAAAGTACTCCAAGTATGCGCTCGCGCGCGCGCATGCACACACACACACACGCGCACGCACACGCGCGCACACACACACACAATCTCTGTACCCTTCAAAGTGGGAGAGTAGTATTAAAAAAAGAAAACTATTTTAAAAATAACAGTATTAGTATTAAAAAAAGACAATATTGAGACCCCGCCCCTTGCTGATTGTGCTAACAGTGTCACCAGAGAGGAATGATGTCAAAGCATAGTTGATCTTTAGATGCTTAAGTCACTTGGTCCTAGTCAAAATTTGTATCAGTAACTTGGGTGAAGGACAAATGCTTTGATGGTATGACAATAATAACCACGATTCTGTACCATGACAAAGCAACAGCTCTAAGATCAGCAGTCTGGGTTTTGAGTATCTGTAGGGCTGGGGTTGGGTGGGGCAGGCAAAAAGGGATAATTCTGGGAGAAGAAGGAAGCGAATATGGACATCACTTGGAGCCTCTAAGGGCACACCCATTTCTGAATATTAAATTATATTCATCCCCATTCTCTATCCTCAAGATGAATCTTGTTCTAGCTTTATCAAATCTTTAACTCCACCTACAGGTTCAGTGTAGACCTACATCTGCACTGAAGCACATTTAAAGTTATATGTCATTTTCCTTGTTCCATTGTGGAAATGGAAGCCGGGGAGCCCATTGATTTACAGCAGCAGACATCTTCCTAGGTTCCCAATTCTATGTTCATATGATTATTTCTTCATTTACATGTATAAATTTGTCTGCCTCTCAGAGCCTCATGCTACCTATTCTACACCATCTCTCTATTGCTTCCCCCATATCCTGTCTTATCTTTTTATAAATTCTAGGATCCATAAATCCAACTTGCTACTGTAAGGTTTTCACAGAGTTATAGAGCAAGTCAAATTGAAACAACTGACTACTGGCTGTTATCTATTTCTTCCTTTCTGGGTAATCTATGCTTTCACTCTTATAGCTTGCCTTTGACTCCCCATCTTAGCTCTCAAATATCTCATTCAGTTAGTTTTTTTGGCCCACTAGATACCAGTGGTTCCTATCTGGGTATCCATCTTGTTGTATTCTCTTAATTCCTATGGGTTATCTCTTCCAGTCATTATTTCTAGCACAGGCATTATTTGTAAACTCCAGGCCCATTTACCTACCAATCTATCCAATTTTCACATTGATACTCTCAAATGTGCCCTAAATTGAATTCACCACCTCTCTCTTTACCATCACCAACACTTTAAGTAATATTTAATCTTCCTTCCTATAATTCAAATTTCAGAGAAAAACCACTACTATAAATTGAGTTGCCCAAGTCAGAAAATCAGGAGACATCTTTCACTACTTTTTCTCATCCACACACAGTTAAACACTGAATTCTGTCAAATGTACTTTATTTCTAGAACTCATCCACATTTCTTCATCTCCACTCTTAAGTTTAGGTTCTCATCATTTTTTATCTGGATCATAGCAACATAATCATTTTCTGTCATCATCATGTCTCTGATCATTCTTAAACATTGCTGAGAGAACCTTCTATAATGCAAATTAACATTCTTGTGAAACAGTTATAAAATAATTTTACAAAAACCACTAGCTTTCCCATGTTATCAAAAATTATTAGAAGAGATTCATGTTGTATTAGCATATATAAAATATTTATTAGCATTATAGTTTTTGGAAGTATACAGGAACCATGTGAAAACTAAATTCTAGAGAGAGATATAAGGAAGATCTTAGTTTATGTGAGACTATCATATGCCAGAGGGATATATCAGTTTCCCACAAACTATTCTATATATACAGAAAACAAAATCCCAACATGAAATTTGACAAAATGATTCTACCTCTGATTCAGGAGAATAATAATATACAAAGAATTCAGGGACTGTTTTTGTTTTGTTTTGCAATACTAAGGATTGAACCCAGGGTGTTTTATAAAATGGAGACAAGAAGAGTACTACATCCCTGGTCTTGCTAAGTTGTTGAATCCTGCCTTGAACTTGTGATCCTCCTGCCCCAGCCTCTTAAGTTACTGGGATGACAAGCATGTGCCACTACGCTCAGCCTTCCAGGGATTATTGGGAAAAAAAAAAAAAAAAAAAGAAAGTGTTTTTTTATTAGGTATTAAAATGTGCTTTAAATTTAACCTAATTAAAACAATGCAATATTGTTTTTATAATAAAGAAATCAATAAAACGCTTCTAAAATAAAAGTAAGTTTATAGGGATATATATGCTATGGCTTGATTGATACACCTGGTACATTTCAGAGATATCATCAAACACTCTAATGTAAATCAGAAAAGGAGTAGGAAAAAAATACAGATGTCCATGTATGCCTAAGAAGAATGAGGAGGCCTAAGGATCACACTAAAAGAAGTCATTAAAGGAAAAGATTAATAAATCATCTTAAAGACTGAAAAGATAAATGACAAAAATGAAAAAGTCAACCTATCACAAATGGTATTCTTCACCTATATGAGCTGTTAAAAATTAGCATGAAAAATGAACACCTTAATAAAAGATTAAAAAAACAATATAAACTGTCAACTTACACAAGATGGTAGTCAAATAAACATACAAAACACAACTATACCAGTAACAAGCAAAGAAATAAAAATCAAACCTAATATAATTTGTTTTCACTTAAGTTACTAGGGAAAAGATTAAAAAATTATAATACACTATACTGGGTATACTCTGTGGCTGAAGGAAGTGTTATGTGGACAATATTTTTGGAGTGCAATTTTGGCCATTAGAAAATGTATATATGCACCATTTGATATGAATTCCACTTCTTGAAATTTATCTTTAAAATTTCAGAAATGTACAAAGATAGAGGTATATTTCTTTCTTTTGTCTTGAGTACTAGGGATTGAACCCAGTGCTTTACCACTGAGCTACATCCCTAACTTTTTATTTTTTATTTTGAAAAAGGGTCCTGCTAAGTTGTTTAGGTCCTTGCTAAATTGCTGAGGCTGGCCTTGAACTTGCAATCCTCCTGTCTCAAGTCTCCCAAGTCACTGGGATTAAAGGTATGCATCACTGTGCTTGGCAAAGATACGCGTATCTCTTAATAAGAAAAAAGAGAACAACTTTATCCAATAAGGAGAAATTACTTAAACTAAGGAACAGCCAAAACATCTAATATGCAGTTAATAAAAATAATGTTATAGTTATACATTTATTGGTAAGAAAAGCTATGTATAACAAATTAAAAAGAAAAAAAGTTATCAATTACTATCTCATTATCTGATGCACACAGGTTCTCCCAGCCTTGGGTTCCAAAAGAGGACTCATTCTTTCTACTAGGCCCAGGTTAGGTGAGCCCATTTTGTCTCTTCCCAAGACTTAACCACTAAGTCATCATGAAATTCCCCTGATACTGAATGTAGGCTATGTAGAAGACAGAAGACAACACATATTATTCACTGTGGATGTCAAGGCTGCAAGAACCAGATCAAACAAAGAAGCTCTGTGACACTGACCTGGCCAAGGTCAATACCCTGCTCAGACCTGATGGTGAGAAGAAGGCATGTTTGACTGGCTCCTGACTGTGATGTCTGAGATATTGCTAACAAAATTGGAGTAATCTAAATAAAGTCCCAGCCAGTTCATTTTAAATATATATATATATATATATATTTTTTTTTTTTTTTTTTTTTTTCCCACCATCAAAGCAGATTAGCTGGGTATGTGGCACATGCCTTTAATCTCAGCCACTCAGGAGGCTGAGGCAGGAGGATCAAGAGTTCAAAGCCAGCCTCAGCAAAAGTGAGGTGATAATAAGCAACTCAGTGAGACCCTGTCTCTAAATAAAATATCAAAAAGGGCTGGGGATGTGGCTCAGTGGTTTAGTGCCCCTGGATTCCCACCCCAGTACCAAATAAATAAATAAAATAAAAATTTTTAAAAAGCAGGTTATAAAATAGCGAATAGATCCTATTTTGAAGTAACAATGTCAGCCATGATGTACACATGACTTTAATTTCTGCTTATTTATGCTTTCATGCTTTCTATTTTTCCTACAACAAACATCCATGACCTATTAAAACATACATATGGAGCTGGGGTTGTGGCTTAGTGGTAGAGCTCTTACTAGAATATGTGAGGCACTCGGTTCAATTCTCAGCACCACAGATAAATAAAGTTATATCAATAAGTAAAAGAAATACTTTAAAAACCCACATATATACAACTCCCTAATTAAAATCCTTCCCAACTCCATCTATAGTCCATCATGTGTTGGCTCTCTTTGTATTGAACTCCTCCAACCCTCTTTGAGTTCTATGAATGAATCATGTGTACCCTTCCTCTATCTCACTCATTTGAGGCTTGGTTCAGGTATCCATTCACTTTTCAACTTTTCCAGAAAAAGATTTTTTTTCCTGAGCTGTCTTCCATTCTCTCCCTTTAATAACCATACATACCCTCAACCTCATACTACCCTCAGTATGGGCTAAAGATTTCTCCCTCAATGTTACATGCTACTTTGAGCTTATCCTATGATCCATCCCATTTATACCTGTCTACATTAGCACAGGCTCTTCCTGTTTATTTCCTTCACTATTGCGTAGAACCTAGAACAAGGTAGGGACACAATGTCTGCTGAATGAACAAATATCTTGGTCTGGTATTTTTGCTTTTCTGATTGCTTTAAGTCATCACTATTTATCTATCTATGTATCTATTTAAATAATTTTTTATTTATGACTTAAGTTCCAGGTAAAGGGCAGTCATTGTCCTTTCAGTTTCAGAGGTTTTGGAAGGACCAATAGAGAATTTCAATGGAGAAAGATTTTAATTTTCTCATTATGTATCTGCCTTGAAATGGTCATTTTCATATACTACCTACCTCATCTCTGTCACTAAAGTTTCAACAATGGTTGAAGAACCTTCTATACAAATGCCATTTTGAAATTCTCATCCACGGCATGTGAGGTTACTTCTAAGGTTCCTCGCAATGCTAAGAGGATTCCATGATGGTCTTTTTGGTCTAAGGAAAACTGCTATTTTCTCAGAATTTATGTGAACTATCCAGGCTGTAAATCCTTTCATTATACCCTTTGAAATGTTAATTAGGTTTTTGTTGTTTTTGTACGGGGGGATTGAACCTAGGGGTGTTCTACTAGTGAGCTACCTCCTCAGCCCCCCTTTTTTTAAAAAATATTTTTATTTTTTAGTTGTAGTTGGACACAATACCTTTATTTTATTTATTTATTTTCATGTGGTGCTGAGGATTGAACCCAGGGCCTCAAACGTGCTAGGCAAGCACTCTACCTCTGAGCCACAACTCCAGCCCCAGCCTGTTTTATTTTTTATTTTGAGGCAGGGTCTTGAACCCAGCACTTCGCACATGCTAGGCGAGCACTCTACCACTGAGCCACAACCCCAGCCCCCTGGTTAGTTTTTAATAGAAATAAACTTTCTCAATATTTTAACACTCTAATTTTACTATCTGAAAATAGTTTACCTTGTTATAATATTTTGAAACATCTGTGTACACGTGATGTATGAAAAAAACAAATGAACTTAGAATTAATTTGGAGAATGTTACAGATAATCTGTTATAAAATTAATGTGCTAGAGAAAAATGTTCTTTTAATGTTCAGGAGCTATGGAGACACGCTGGATTATTTTTAAGATGTCTATCATTAATGTACAAATAAATACACTTAGAATACAGTGTATCAAGTTCATAACTTTTTGAAGATATTCAAGATAAACAATCATTTCCTTATTATCAGCTTCCCCTGCCTGTCAAGTCAAATTGTGTTTTGTACTTTCATTTTTGTTGGCCCAGTTATGCTTCTATAGATACAATATCCCTTATTTGAAAGGCCTGAGACCAGGAAATGTTGCAGATATTAGAAAATCTGCAATATACATAATGAATTATCTTGGGGATGGGACCTAAGTCTAAACACAAATTCAATGTTTCATATGTAACATACACACATAGACTCAAGGTACGTTTATAAAATATATATATATATATATTTTAAAGAGAGAGAGAAAAGAGAGAGAGAGAGAGAGAGAGAGAGAGAGAGTTTATTAATATTTAATTTTTAGTTCTCGGCGGACACAACATCTTTGTTTGTATGTGGTGCTGAGGATTGAACCTGGGGCCACACGTATGCCAGTTGAGTGCGCTACCACTTGAGCCACATCCCCAGCCCATTATAAAATATTTTTAATGATTTTGTGAATACAATTATTTTGCTGTCAGACATGTGTGGCACTCAACAAATTTCAGATTTCAGAAAACCTTTGTGGATTAAAGGTTTCTGGATTAAGGATACTCAATCTGTAGTGGGATCAGCTAAGTGCAGAAGTGAATGTAGCACTTTCATCTTTACTTAAAAAAAAAAAAACAAAAAAACTTTCAAACCAATCTTTAAATCAAATATTGCTTTAATGTCAATTCTATTCTCAAAAGAGGATTCAAAACATGAATATTATAATGACAACAGAAAAGTAATCAAACATACCTGATCCTTTTCAAGTGTAAGTATTTGATAGCCAGTTGTTCTACTGCATATTAATTTTCCACTACTGTCAAAAGAAGCCAAACGTAACCTGCAATTAAAAAAAATAAAAATAAACAGGAGATATTTTAAACACAGATTAATTTAAGGAAACCTCCCTCACTTTTTTCTCTTCCATATTCTGTTTTTTATTTTATGAGAGACTTCAAAGTCTTTTCAGACTATAAACTGATTCCATTTGGGTTTATAAACCTATGCTGTATACATATGTGAAATATAATTTGAAAATGACTTTTCAAAAATCTTTTTTTGGGGAGGGAGAGGTCAGAGGATATAAATGACTTATTATTATGGTAAAATACACATGATTTAAATTGTTCATTTAAATCATTTTTATGCAGTCCTGTGGCATTAAATACACTGATAATGCTCTGCAACTATCACTATGACCCATCTCTGAAACATTTTCTTCTTCTCCAGCTGAAACTCTGTACCCATTAAACACCCACTATTTCCCCTTCCCAGCCCTGGCAACCATATTTAATCTGTATGAATTTTCTTTTTTGTCAACATATTTTATGTGCACCCCCTCATATTTTTTCTTGGTGTACTAGAATGATGGGACTCACTGTTATACATTCATACATGCACATCATATAATAATATAATTTGTCAATATTATTTCTTAGAATTTCCTCTTTCCTTCTCCTCCTCCCTGGTCCCTTTCTACTGGTTACCCTTCTATTTTCATGAGATTCCCCTTCTGTCTCTATGAATTTGTCCACTTAAAGAACCTCCTATGAGTGGTCATACAATATTTGTCCTTTAGTGACATGCTTATTTCACTTATTATTATGTCTCTGAGGTTTGTTCAAGTTTAGCATGTGTTAGAATTTCCTTCCTTTTAAATACTGAATAATGTTTATTATATGTATGTTACCACGTTTTAGCCATAATCTGTCAATGAACACATGGCTACTATGAATAATGCTGCTATGAACATGAGTATACAAGTATCTGTTCAAGGCTCTAATTTCAATTCTTTTGGGTATACAGGCAAAAAAGGAACTGCTGGATCATATAGTAATTCTGTGTTTAAATTCTTTGAAAGCATCATAATATTTTCTTTCCTTTTTTATAGGGGGGTGAGGGAGGAGAGCATGGGATTAAACCCAGAGCTTTGCACATGCTAGGCAAGCACTCCACAACTGGGCAACATCCATAGTACACAGGATTCCAATTATTCTATATTGTTGTCAACACTTATTTTGTTTTGAATAATAGCCCTCCTTAGGGTGAAGTAATATCTCCTTGTGGTTTTGATTTGCATTTCCCTTAGCATTTTTTCATGAGCTCTTTAGCCGCTTGTTTATCACGTTGGAGAAATTTTATACAAGTCCCCCCTTTTTTTTACAATATTTTTTTCATCAGTGGACCTTTATTTATTTATATGGATTGCTGAGAATTGAATCTAGTGTCTCACACATGCTAGGCAAATGCTCAACTACTGTGCTATGATCCCTGCCTACAAGTCCTGGGGATTGAACTCAGGGCCTGATACATGCTAGGCAAGCCCTCTACCACTGCCTTTGCTCTTTTTTTTTTTTTTTGGTACCAGGGGATTGAACTCAGGGACACTGAACCACTGAGTAACATCCCCGGCCCTTTTTATATTTTATTTAGAGATAGGGGCTCACTGAGTTGCTTAGGCCTCGCTAAGTTGCAGCAGCTGGCTTTGAACTCGTGATCCTCCTACTTCAGCCTCCCGAGCTGCTGGGATTACAGGTGTGTGCCCAGTTCCTTTCCTCATTTTTAAATTTTTTTTTTTTAATCATGTACATATAGAAGCTGTTCTATATGCATTCTGATTAACTCCTATCAGACATATAGTTTACAAATATCTTCTCCCATTCCAATGCTGATAGTGTGCTTTGATATACAAAAGTCCTCAGTTTTGATGAGGTCTAATTTATCTATTTTTCTTTTGTTGCCCATCCTTTGGATGACCTATCAAAGAAACCACTGCCTAATCAAATGTTGTAAAGATTTTACCCTGTTTTTTTCTTCTGAGGCCAGGTCCTTGTGATAGCCGGTGCTCTACCACTGAGCTACTTCTCTAGCCCCAGTTTTAACTCTTATTACCAAATAAATGTGATCCACCTTGAGGTGATCTTTATATATAGTATAAGTATGAATATACGATTTAAAAACAATCTGCTCTCTGGGCACATGTGTCCAGCAACTCAGAAGGCTGAGGCAGGAGGAACCCAAGTTCAAGGCCAGTCTTGGCAACTTAGTGAGATGGTCAGCAACTTAGTGAGACGGTCAGCAACTTAGTGATAAGATCTTGTCTCAAAATAAAAAAATAAAATGGTCTGTGGATGTAGCTCAATGGTGAAGTGCCCCTAGGTTTAATCTCTAATTCCAAAATAAATAATTAATATGGAAATAATCTGTTCATTAACTATTTCCCCATTTGTTAGCCTATAGCATACTCTCCAGTAAAAGGCTGCCAGTTCATCTGTCAGGCAAATCTGGATATATATCAAATCTTGTAGAAAGTTAAGGATAATATAAGACATATTGGTAGAAAACCACCTTGCCATATTTCTAGTTTGGATATTTTATTTACTAGCCATAGCAACAAAGCTTCAAACTCAAGTTATCAGTCCTCTATCATTCATATTCCAGCCTATTCATTCTAATATACTAGCTCTTTTGATTTTGATTATTAATAATATATTTCACAGAAATGGAGTCTTACCAGTTCCTAACACTTTTGCATATTCTGTATCTTACTAAGTTGGTATAAATTATCAAGGTTTTATTTTATTTCTTCTATTTCCTCTGTAGTGAGGAGAGTGGAGTAGGTAAATCTCATCCTACCTAAATGCTATGCTCCTTCGAGGTTGTAAACTGACAGATCCGGTACATGGCTGATTCAGTGTATTGCGTTTGAAAATGATGTACCGATTGGTGTAAGTTACAAGTAGGTCAAAGCCGAAGTTAAAACCTGTCCATCGCCAGCAGTACTAAAGACACAAAAGAGAGATTTATTTCAGTTAATCACATTAGCAAGTAAAAAATAAAAAGTTCAAAGTTACTTTTTTTCCCTCCTAACTCCAGGTATTTCCCTCATGGGAAGCACTTTTGTCAGTGCTTTTCTCTTAAGGCTTTCCAGAGAACCATATACCTAGTCAGAAAAGCAACCTTTATGACCATAATTCCTTAAGCTGCTTTCCTACTATGGCCTCTTTATGCTCTCCATACTGCAATTCTATCATAAATAATAAGGTTTTCACTATAATTCTAAGTAATATTGCTTACATACTGAGAGTCCAGATGGAGGCAAAAACCCATTAAAATCCACTTTACTTTAAAAACACTCTAATACCTCAAGTAATTAATCAAACAGACACATGACTGGGTTATTCTCAATACCATCATAGGGTTGTAAGTTTGCTTATTCTACCAGCTAATTGTTAGTAAGAGAGGTAAGGTACCACGGGATAGGGAAATAAAGTTAGGGCTTCAAGGGTTTGATGGGCACCCTGAATTAAAACATTAATTCAATATTTAGCCAACACACTCAGTACATATACCAGACACTGCTTTAGGCAGTGGAGACATAGCAGTAAATAAAGTTTCTGCCCTAGTAGAACTTATATTCCACTATGTGAATATGTTTGTGTGGTAGAATGGAAGATGTACAATTCACATGCTCTAGAAGAGAAGAGAAGGTCAGAAGAGTCACAGGGTAGAGGAGGGGGCTTGCAGTTGAGAAGCCTGCCTGCCAATTTATACAAGTACACAGGAAAATCTCTCTGAGGAGGATAGGTGAAAGATCAGATCAGGTAGCTATCTGGGGAAAGAGTGTTATAGGTAGTGAGAACAGCAAGTATAAAGCTCTAAGGGTAAAAATATGCTTGGCGTATGTGAGGATCAGCAAGATAGGCTATATGGATGGGGCAGTGACTGACAGTGTTAGAAACTGGAAATGAATTCATAGAGGAATTTGAGGGCCAGAAAAGATAGGGTCTAATGGTCTATGGTAAGAAAGAGTTTAGATTTCCTCTAATTGTGGTGGGAGGTGAATGGAGGCTATTTAGGGAAGGGAGTGACAAATCTAACTTACATTTTAAAAAGATCACTTGGTTGAATGTCAAGGAAGCAAGAGTAAAACAGCACTAATGAGGCCACTCCAATAGCCCAGGCAGGAGAGAATGGTGATATGGACTTGAGTGATAGTGGTAGACATGCTAAGAATGTATTTAAGGCATAAATCCTTGAAAATTTCTTATGGAAAACGAGAGTGGTATGAAAGAAAGAGGAATCCAAAATGAACCCAAAGTTTGGAGCCTATGCAATGGCCTAATGGAGGGACCATCTACAGGCTGCAGAATATATGGGAAGGAGGTGGTTTATGGAAGACAGAAGCTCTGCTTGGGATTGTTATATTAGAGATCTACTAGGTATTTGAAGAAGATGCTATTTGAGTAGCTGGATATATGAATTTAGAGGTAGGAGTCATCAGGGTACAGATAGAGTGTGACATCATGAGATTCTATGAGATCAATTATGAGGAGCACAGGTAGGGAGAAGTTCAAGGATTTGAGCCTCTAGTTAAAGCAACATTTGTTGAATAAGAGAAGGATTTAGCAAAGACTAGAAGGAGCAGCCAATGAAGTAGGAAGAAAACCAGCAGAGTATGCTGTCCTAGAAGTCGAGAAAATCTTTCAATAAGGAGTGAGTGAACAAAAATGTCAATATTGACAAGAGTTTTCAGAAGAAAACTGACATTGATTACTTGAACTACTCGATTTGGCAATGTGGGATCACTGCTGATTCTGGCATGACAGTTTCAGTGAAGTTGTGCTACGGAGTAGATTCAAGAAGGCATCAGAAAAGAAGAAATATAGTGAACAAATACAGGCAACTTTTTTCAATGAGTTTTGCCTAAACGGGAGAGAAGAGAAATGGAGTGGTAGCTAGAGGAGAATGTGGAGTCAAAATATTGTTTAAGATGGGTGGTAATGCAGGATGATGTTATATGCTAAATATGAATAAGCCAACAGAAGAGAAAAACCGATTATACAGGAAAAGGCAGTTATTACTGTAGGAACAAAATTTTTGAACAGAGGAGAAGGGATGGGATTCAGTAGAAGAACAGGGGATGCACTAGGACAGAAGCAGACAGTTCAGCCATTCTCTAAAGAAAAAAAGCACAGTGCACAGCTACAAATTGGTGGAACTGTTGGTAAGAGGATGTACAGATTCTCTTCCTATTGCAGTAAGAACAATGTATTGTATAACCTACTGTGGTTAAAAAATTGCTGGAGTCCAGGTACTTGAGGGAGAGAGCTAGAAAGATAAGAGGAAGTGAAGCCTGAAAAGGGATGCTTTTTTCAATAAGAGATTTTGAAGGTGGTAGTTAGTTGATTAAAAAAAAACTTAGGATGTCCTTATGTTAGGGTGAAGCACAAGATCACTGGGGGAAGATAAGGGAACAGACATACTGAAAACACCAAGACTGGTAATAACAGTAGTGACAAGTAATGACAGTGAGCCTATGAATGATGGCCACAATAAGGGTCTTAGGTAGTGTAATAGAAGAATTTGCTTCAAAGGAGCTGTAGTCCAATGAAGGACAAAGGAGGAACAAAATCTGAAAGCAGCAACAAAGAAAAACAAGAATAAATAAGACAACTGTTCCTCTTGCACACTCAGAACATTTATCACAACTGTGAATACAAACATAATTAACTTTAAAAATTAAAGTTAAGCTCGATGTGGTGGTACATGCCTATAATTCCAGCTACTCAGGAATGAAGCAGGAGGATCATGGTTTGAGGCTAGCCTGGGCAATTTAGAAAGACCCTGTGTCTCAGAATAAAATGAACAAACAAAACAAAGGGCTGGAGATGTAGCTCAGTGGTAGAGAGCTTGCCTAGCATGATTGAGGCCCTGGGTTTAATCCCTAATATTGAGAAGGAAAAAAAAAAAAAAAGAGGGTAAATGTGGAAGAAAAGGGATCAAATGGGTATACAAATTAGGCTAAAATTTCTTTTAAAATGAAAATCATGATTAGGCTTTAAAAATCAACTTAATAAATGACAATCAGCTTTTAAAAAATTAAATAGAAAATAAGTTCGTTGGATACAGCAAAGGTAAGTATTATTTTAAATATTTATAAATATGCATACACACATATATCATGGTAAGATAAAAAGGTAATTTTTTGGGGGGGATTCTGAGGATTGAACTCAAGGGCACTTGACACTGAGCCATATCCCCAGCCCTATTTTGTATTTTATTTAGAGACATAGTCTCACTGAATTGCTTAGAATCTCACTTTTGCTGAGACTGGCTGTGAACTCAGGATCCTCTTGCCTCAGCCTCCCAAGCTGCTAGGCTTACAGCTATGTGCCACTGCAAAAAGATCATTCTTAAAATACATTTACACAATAAAATACACAATACATTTATTTCATTCATTTATTTATTTTTATGGGGTGCTGAGAATCAAACCCAGTGCCTCACATGTGCTAGGCAAGCGCTCTACCACTGAGCTATAACCCCAGCCTCAAAAAAGGTGATTCTTAATGTAGTTAGCAATCAAAGGGTTTGACTATCTTTGATTTAGGGTAATTAAAAAACAGAATGACTTTTAAGACTATGTAATGTTCTCACATAACTTCCCTTTTTCTTTTTAGGGGTGATAGGGCCTTTTTAAATTGCCCAGTCTAGTCTTGATTTGGTGATCCCTCTGCCTCAGCCTTCTGAGTAGCTGGGATTATGGGTAGTTGCCACCATGCCTGGCTCATTTTACTTCCTTATCTTGATTTCTGAATTGCTGAGGGATCCTCTTCTCAAATCTCTTATCTGGATCCCAAATTTAAGTTCAACAGTCTCATGCAAGGCTGTGTAATTTATCACTGAGCATGGTAGCTGAAACTCATTGCCTAGGACCACATACTACTAGAACTATCAAATAAGCTCTCCATAAGCATAGTAGGTATCATGATGGATATACAAAGTGCATTATGGTTATAGAGTTCCCAGACATTTGTTCTATTAGTTTTTATTATGAAGAATTGAAAACATATGAAAGTACAAAAAATAGTCCAATGAACCACACTTTCTCAACTATCTGTATGAGAAAAATTTAAGAATCACAACCCATACTTACTTCACCATCTTTGGCAAGCTTTCTACCACATCTCATGCTATTTCCCTCTAGTTCTTCTTTATTGATTTCTTGAGGCCTAAAAACATACATAAGACAAGAACTTCCATAGAAAATAGGTAACTGGTAATTGAAAAAGAGCTGCAAAAAGTTAAAAAGAACAAGGGCTGGGGATAAAGCTCAGTGACAGTGTACCTTAGGCTCAATCCTCAGTATCACAATAAATAAATAAAATAAAAATTAGAAAATTAAAAATAAAACAAAAAGTCTCACTACTTGATTTAAATATGTACACACACTTTTTTTTTGCGGCGGGGGGGGGGGGGCATGTATAGATAAAAATAAGAATGTATTGGGCTGGAGGTGGAGTATAGCTCAGTGGTAGAACATTTGCCTAGCATAATGAGGCCCTGGGTTCAATCCCCAATACTGCAAAAGAATAAAAAAAAATAAAAATAAAAAAATTGAGAATTTGTTGATTAAATTTAGTCCATTACCTTGCTAAATAAAATTTTTAAAAAATCAAAATTCTTCAATGTCTCACTTTTGCCCTGACTTCTAGATTTATTTTTATTAGGGCTCAGCCAAATCAGAGAAAAGGGGGGAAAATATGAAAATGCTGTTTACCAGGAAAATATAATGCTTAAAAGTCTAATAGCTAAGTAAAAGAAATTAAAGTCTATTATTTTTATAAGATGTGACCTAATTATTACCTATCACTTGATAGTACTTATTTTATAGATAAGCCAGTTTCATTTAGTATAACTCTACAAAATCATTGTCATAGAAAAAAAAGCTGTATAATACTATCTATTTTCCTTCAGTTTATTCCTTACTTAAAAAACTTTAGTTAACTGAGAGAAACCTTGTGCTTTTAAGTTGTAATAACAAATGGCATTATTATTATTTTGGTATTCCAAATAAAATACACTATATTCATTAGTTTACACATAAAGTGCCTAGAAACTGGAACGTAATATATAATCATAATAAGTAAATGTAAATAAGACATATTCTTCATGTCCAAGTACTGCACCCTAGTAAATAATTGGACATAATTAATGATCATAATAATGTGGAAAGAGACGCTATGTTAAAACCACAAGGGCACAGATTTATTGCCCAGAGTAGAGGGGAATATCATGACAGAGTAAGTGTTTGTGTTTAGTAGGACTTGTGTTGGAGTGGAGGTGGGAGGCCTATCTGCACAGTGGGAAGGAATACATGCAGAAGGAACAGTAGGCTACATATAAAAAAGGGACTGAAGAATAGAATATAAATAGATAAAGAATTTAGTGCAGCTGGAATATAAGATGAACAGGAGGACGGATGAAGCTAAAGGCATCTGAGACAGACTGTTGAAGGTTGCCAGGGGCCAGGCTAATTAAAGTTTCAACTTTTCCTGTAGGTAGTAGAATTCCCAGATGTTAGTTTTATTATTATTCAACTTTTTATTATGAAATATTGCAAACATGATAGTGGACAAAATTACATAATGACCCATCTCAACATCTAGCCTCAATAATCTTGAGCAATGATAATTATTTAACCATTAGTACTGAATGTCCTGGACACATTTAAGCAGGGAAGTAACACAACTATATTTCTGTTTTAGAAAAATAACCCTCTTGGCAATACATAAGAGAGTTTGGACAAAAAGAACCCTGGAGGGAGATGTAACTAGTATAACCTAGTATCCAGGAAATACACTACCTTCCTCACTTTAGCAATGCTGCAGCTGTGGGCAGATGCTGCATACCCACAGAATAGAATATATCATCAGTGGCAATATAATCATATACTTCTTTTTTCAGTACTGGAGATTAAACTCAGAACTTCATGCATGTCAGACAACTTCTCTACCACTGAGTTATACCCCTTTCTCTACACACATACTTCTGAGGTCAAGAAAATCAGACACTTAGGTAAGACTCTTACTAACCTCAGTAAGGATAAAAGTGAGAAATTTTTTGAAAAATAAAGAACATCCAAAATTTTAAAGCTGAACACACAAAATAATGAGGTGTTATTATTTAGTTTCTATTTTATTTATAATCCCATTTTTTCCAAATCAAAACAAAACAACAACCCCAACAAAACCCTGGATGATAATAACCTCATACTTATTGTTTAGATATGAACTTATAAATAGACCATTATTTTAGGAAATTCTTCTGTATATAAAAATGGCTAAAGATATTAGGGTCAAAAAAATTAAACTTCTTGAGGCCTCTTCTATATACTTACAGGTGAAAGTCTTTCACACTATTTCAAGGAGCTAGCATAAGGAACACACAATAAATGTGCAAGTACTTCTGTGAACTGCAAAGCACTACAAATTTAAAGAAAAGGTTATTTTCTTTCCCTTAAAATGAAGAAAGTGCATAAATATTCTGTAGGGGGTCAGAAGTTTTGGGGGAAACACCTGTAACCAGATAGATTTAATTCATTTTAGACTCAAAGATCTTCAAAACCTTTTTATTAATCAGAAGTTGATAATACTACCACAAATATGAAAATCAGCTTTATCTATAGATAAGTATGAAAAATAAACTTATGAAAGCATCATTCCAAGTAATATTTCAATGTTAAAAGGAAATCATAATAGGTGAAAAAATATATGAATTATTCAATTTTACTAACATAACAAGTGACAATTCAAACACCCTATTTACTATTTTAACTGACCAGAAATTTGTAAAAGACTGATAATGTATATAAGAATAAAAGTTGATTACATATCTTTTCTCTACTTCAATACAGCAATGATTTTTCAATATAATGAAAAATTTAAAAATTCAAAGCAAAAAGAAAATATTATTTTTGGACTAGGGATATAGGTCAGTGGTAGAGTGCTTGCCTAGCATGCAAGAGGCTCTGGGTTTGATCTCCAGCACACACACAAAAAAAACCCAAAATGGTTTTACGGTACTGGAAATTGAACCCAGAATGGCTCTATCACTGAACTACATCATCAGCTCAATTTATTTATTTTCCTTCTTTCTCTCCTTCCTTCCTTCTCCTCTTCCTCTCTTCCCCTTCTCCCTTTCTTCCCTTCTTCCCTTCCTCCCTTCTTCTTTCCACCATTCTTCCCCCCTTCCTCTATCTAACTGCCCACCTACCTACCTATCTATCCAACTTTTGTGTACATGCGATTAAACCCAGGGTACTCTACCACTGAGCTATACCCCAGACTTTTCTTATTTTTATTTTGACACAGGGTCTTCACTAAGTTTTACCCAGGTTGGCTGTGAACTTGTGATCCTTCTGCCTCAGCCTCCCGAGTTCCTGGGATTACAAGTGTATGCTAGCCACTTGGTTAAAAGGTTTATTATTATTTTTTAAATGAACAATAATAAAATGAAATATACTTACCCCACTTCACTGTCTTGTTCTGCCCGGAGCATAGCAAGCCACTGCTGCTTATATACAGAAGATAGCCATTCTAAAGCATAAACATTAATTAAGTAATTAAAAATAAATAAAAATGGAAGGACATACAGGATTTAAATATGTTAAATAGTTGATAGAATTGTTATTATTTCTAAATTTTAAAATAGTAATTTAAAAAGCAAGTATCTTAGATTTTACAAATGTGCAGTAACAATATGGCTTAATGATCTTTTAAGTGGTAAAGTTCATCCAAATTTGCCTCAGTCTAGATTCTACTTAGATTACATATACTTAAATTAGAATTTAAATCCTTAGTTAAAAGTTATTAATTAGAAGTTATTAATTCTTGCATTTAATAGTTTAAAAAGTTTCCTTTTCACAGCTTATGTTAATTTTCATTTGTGAGAATAATTTCTAAAACAATACTTTCTTTTACAAAAGTTTCAACACAGGGGCTGGGGATGTGGCTCAAGCGGTAGCGCGCTCGCCTGGCATGCGTGCGGCCCGGGTTCGATCCTCAGCACCACATACAAACAAAGATGTTGTGTCCGCCAATAACTAAAAAATAAATATTAAAATTCTCACTCTCTTAAAAAAAAAAAAGAGTGAGAGAGAGAGAAAAAAAACAAAACAAAACAAAAAACAAAAAAAAAAAAAAAAAAGTTTCAACAGAAAACTGAATAATGAATTTTTCCTTTATTAAATTACCAAAAAATAAAAATTAACTTTTTTTTTAAAAATAAGCCACCATTAAATTAGCAAGTGAAAAATGATTACTTAAAAAATAATTTTGGAATATTAGATTTATATAACTATCATTAAAAATAAAACATTTTGCCAGGCATAGTGGTATACCCTTGTAATCCCAGTGACTTGGGAGGCTGAGGCAAGAGGATCAAAAGTTCTAGGCCAGTCTGGGAAATTTAGGGAGATCCTGACTCCAAATAAAGAATAAAAAAGGTTGGGAATGTAGCTCAGTGCATAAGGCCCTGGATTCAATCCTTAGTCACACACTCACACACTTTCTTTCACATACACACAAGACTTTAGCTTATTCTAATTATTATTAAATTTATAACTAGAGATTTTCTTTTTTAAAAAAAAATTTTTTTAGTTGTAGTTGGACACAATACCTTTATTTTTTTTTTATTTAGTTTTATGTGATGTTGGGGATCGAACCCAGCACCTTGCACGTGCTAGGCGAGCGCTCTACCGCTGAGCCACAACCCCAACCCGAGATTTTCTTTAATAATAAGCATGTAATTTTTATTTTTTATAATTCTGGACAAGTTGAAATTTTAGTTATTTAGATAAAAATATAGATTAATGGGGCTGGGGTTGTGGCTCAGCAGTAGAGCACTTGCCTCACATGTGTGAGGCTCTAGGTTCGATCCTTACTACCACATAAAAATAAATAAAATAAAGGTATTGTGTCCATTTACAACTGAAAAAAAGGTTTAAAAAATAAAATAAAAGTAGAATTGCTTAGCACTATATTTATCTTTTTGCTATTTTATTCCCCAAACCAGAGAGTTGTTTTTGTAGGCTGAGTGTATATAGCTCAGTGGTGGAGTACTTGCCTAGAATGTGCAGGGTCCCCGAGTTTGACCCCTAGGACCACAAATGGGAAAAGGGGGGTTGGGGTTGGAAGAGAGGAAAAGAAGGACTATTTTTCTTTCAAGTTCTTAATTTTTACCTTAAAGAGGGGAGAAACACCAGTGCAATTAAAATCTGGATTTTCACTTTCTAAGTCTGTACTTAATGAAGGTATCCAGGGCAGGGGTTGTAGCTCAGTGGTATAGTGTTTGCTTCGCATGTATGAGGCTCTGTGTTTGATCTCTAGCACTGTGGGTTATGGGGTGAGGGGGGGTGGGATCCAGATGAGTTCCAATGATTTACTGTATGCTTCCTTAAAACACGGTGTAAACACATTTTTCAATGTTTCAGTGCCCCCAAATAATATTCTTGCTATTATTAAAAGGCATAACTAACTGCTAAATGTTTATGCCAATTTATCTTCCTAGGTAAACTCATGACGAATTTTATGTGACTCAGTACACAAACATATATATCTGCAATTCATTTGGATTTTTAAATTTTGTTTTACTGTAAAATGCTGGTTCCTATCCATTAAAATGATAATTTTACTAATGAGTTGTGTCTATGGCCTATCATGAATGATTTGTAAAATTAGAATGAAAGGGTTACACATATATATTCTCAGTATCATGTGAGAGATATTGCATGAAAATGTTTTTTAACATTTAAATTGACAAACTTTGTATAATCTCCTTTATTTTTTCTAACATTTTTTTAAGAGAGAGAGAGAGAGAGAGAATTTTTAATATTTATTTTTTAGTTTTCGGCAGACACAACATCTCTTTTTGTATGTGGTGCTGAGGATCGAACCCGGGCCGCACGCATGCCAGGCGAGCGCGCTACCGCTTGAGCCACATCCCCAGCCCATGTATAATCTCCTTTAAAACCAAAAACATTTTAACAAATTAAAAACATGAGTGCATATTTTTGTCCCTCCTGACTTTCCAGTTTGAAAGAGTGAAAAGTCAAACTTTAAATCTTGTCACTGGTAGCTAAAAGCTTGTAGGACCTATGTCTTACAAAGCAGGATTCCAAAAACAAATCAATGGAACACAACCTGAAATGCACTATTAAGTTATTACAACAGGGCAGAAAAATAATCTGGTACAATATAAGATGAAAATAAGTGAAACAGGTTCTTTTACATAGTTTTTTTTCAGTTATAGGTGGACACAACATCTTTATCTTATTTTTATGTGGTGCTGAGGATTGAACCAGTGCCTCACACATGGTAGGTGAGCATTCTACCTCTGAGCCACAACCCAGCCCTACAGTTTTTAATATGCTTATATGCAGTCATATCTTCAGAAGGCAGAGTCATTAGACAGAGTTTGCTAGTCTTTTTTTTTACATATATATCGGGGATTAAACCCAGGGGTGCTCTACACGGAGCTATATCCCCAGTCCTCTTTGAGATAGTGTATTGCTAAGCTGCCAAGACTGGCGTTGAACTTGTGACTCTCTTGCCTCAGCCTCCTGAGTTGCTAGGAATACAGGTGGGCATACTAAAATCCTTTTTGACAGAATATTGGGTAGAAAGATTCTGAAAAAGCCTTCAAGAAACTATGACTCTCACCAGAAATGGGGATGCTTGCCTATAATCCCATCTACTCTGGAGGCTAAGATGGGAGGCTTGCCAAGTTTGGGGTCAGTCTCAGCAACTCAGCAAGAACTTGTCTCAAATTTTTAAGAAATTAAATAAAATTTAAAAAGGGCTGGGGATGTCGTTCAGTGGCAGACCACCCCTAGGTTCTATTCCCAGTGACAAATAAATGATATAAATTAGAAGAAATTAATTTAGATTATTCCCTTGTCTTAAACAAAGGAAATGGGAACCATATCATTTAAAAATCTAATGTCCTATATTTACAGATTTTAAAAAACAAACAAATAATCACATTCCTAACTTGCCCAGAATTTTGCTGTGTAAGTGAAAGGAAAAGTATATCGTTTATGGTCTGGGCAGCAGGAAGATATTAAATCAAGTGACCAAGTCTTAAACGAATGTGGAAAAATAACTAGATTCAGGAAAAAAAGGACAGAGGGTCAGATCACATGCAATACTGGTTTGGAAAGAACACAGAAGAGTTAGGACCATGACCATCAGGCTTTTATTAGCAGGGTGTGAGAGATGAAGTCCTACCCAGAGAGAAAATATCTTCTGGTAGAATGAAATAAATGGAGGGAAGAGATAGAATATTCTGAGATTTTGTTGACCCAGACATTCAGGGCAAATAATAGAAAGATTTGGGAGGAACAGTAATAAGATAGGTTAGTGGCATTTCTAAATTTTTGACTTAAAGATGGTAAACAGATATAAAATCTCCCTAGACTGATGAATGTATAACTTTTATTAATGTTAACACATTTGGCACTATTTCTGAAAAATGATCAATAAATGTTAGGTTGATTAGTCAAAATTATTTCCATTTACTTCAAAGCTGAGATGCCATCCGACTCAGAGCATATACTAATTTATCTCAATAATATGAGCTAGATAACTAATTTCTGTCCCCTCACAAGCACTGTGGTATGTAACTTTACTTTATACACTGCATTTAAAACTGCAACTTTTATTTGGACATACAGGAAAATCTATTTGCAGATTTATATTTGTAGGATGGGGTATTATAAAATTTTTAAAAAGATTTCTCCCATAAGTCAGAAAAACATGACTGAAATTTGATCAGAATAAAAATCTAAGTTATTTTATAGTGAATAAAATATTTCAGACTAGAAATATCTGTGCCCATCATGAATTCAAAAAAAATATAAGGATTATCCACTTGCATCATACATACACCTAAATTAAACTATTTTAGAACAGATTTTTTTTTGCATTACTGGGGATTGAATCCAGGGCCTGGTGAATGCCAGGCACACACTCTACCATTGAGCTATATCCCTAACCCTTAAAATTCATTTCTAAAGAGACTTAAAAGGAAATAAAATTGAAATGGGTATAATTGTCTTTGGCATCTAATATTAAATCGCTGCTAGGGCCTGGTGTTCAATACATGCTGTATTTATATTTCTTATATCCTTATGTATTACTAAACTGAATCTTTCTGAAACATTAAGAGATTTAACTTTGAAAATGAAATCAGTAGTTGGTTTCAAAAAATTGAAATTAAAATTAGCAAGGATATTATATCTGGTTCAACATGAAGTTTAAAACCTTAGATGGAAAGAAAAAACAGAAAATAAGCACATTTAAGTAAGTAGTATTAATAGAAAAAGCAGTTATGCATTTTAAATACTTCTGAAGTCTTTTTTTAAAACTCAGGGGTACTTAATCACTGAGCCACATTCCCAGTCCTATTTTGTCTTTTATTTAGAGACAGGGTTTCACTGAGTTGCTTAGCACCTCACTTTTGCTGAGGCTGGCTTTGAACTCTTGATCCTCCTGCCTCAGCCTCCAGAGCCACTGGGATTACAGGCATGCACCACTGTGCCTGGCTCAAAAGTCATTTTTAAAAGTCTGATCCAAAACAGTGTACTGATAATTAAAGAATATCCATATTACAGAACACTAGTCATTTAACTATTCTGGAGAATATTTAATGAAATATGGGAAAACACGCATAATATATAATGTGAACATAGAAAATTATCTATACGGTATAATTGTACTGGTGCAAAAATATATATATACCACTTTTGAATTTAGGTTAATTTCTTATTTGGTTCATTATTCTTTTCTATGATATATATTATTGTTAAAATCAGAAAAACATTACTTAAAATCATAAATTCATCATATTCTCTTACCTGACGGTACTAGAGAATCTTGTTCAATAATCCTTGCAGAAGCCAGATCACTAATAATATACTGTAACCTTAAATGTCTAAACACTGACACAAATGGTTTCCCTTGCTCAGTTTCAAGGAATGCCGTACCTTCAAAATCTATTGAAAAAACAAAATAAGTGATTATTTTCAAACCTATTATTTTATCCCTAAATGTCTTTGTGGACAGGGATACACATACACAGTCCTTAAAATACAAATTAGCTATTTCAAAGTTTCTAAGAATTTTATAAACCTAACATGTGAGGATAAAAACTTGGGGAGATTCAGACAAAGTCCCAAAAAATTAACTTTGGTCCTAGTCAGACTGCTGGCCTGGGAATTAATTTGGAGGGCTTTAGAGTTTGTGGTGCAACAAGGGGGTAAAGGCTTGAGAAAAGTACTTAGGGTTAGACTATCCAGAATTACTTCCCAAGGACTGAACACTCCAGTGAAACTCAAGCCCAGAAGCTTCACTTGAAGGTCTTTCACAAGATTCTCAGGACACAGAACACCTTTTGGGAGTCTTCTAATATTTCTCAGCAAAAACAAGACACTGTTCAAGGGAGGGAAAGGGAGGAGGCAGGGGATTAGCAAGGATGGTGGAATGTGATGGACATCATTATCCAAAGTACATGTATGAAGACTCGAATTGGGTGTCAACCTACTTTATATACAAACAAGAGATATGAAAAATTGTGGTATATATGTGTAATAAGAATTGTAATGCAAAAAATAAAACAAGTACATGTATGAAGACATGAATTGGCATGAACATACTTTATACAAAGATATGAAAAATTGTGCTCCATATGTGTAATAAGAATTGTAATACATTCCACTGTTGTGTATTTAAAAAAATAAAATCAATTAAAAAAAGACACTGTCATCACAGATTTGCAACACATGGGTAGTATTAATTTATTACTAAAATAATTCCAGTCTCTGAAGCACATGAATAATTTTTTTTTAATTTTAGGGAGAATTTAAGGTTATTCCAAAAAATTACTCTTGATTGCATTTCAATGTGCTTTCACGAATGTGAAGGAAATGTTTAGGTATTGCTATTAAACATGAATTAATTTGTGCATAAGACCCAGCTTACATTCACCCTTGTTTCTAATAAGGATAAAGATAAGAGATGAGAGCTGCTATTATAGACTATTATATCTCAAGCCATGAAACACAAGTTTTCTGTGAACTAGAAAAGTATTTTGCACTGAAATAGTTTTCCTGAAAATTGTGAAAAGACATCTAATAAAAAGAATTTTCATAATTTTCAATTTTTTTCATACTTTTTTTTTGTATTCGTTTGGCATCTACCAAGAGTCAAGCAGAGCAGAAAAGAAAGTATTATACTTTTTAAAAATTAATAGTTAACGTTGATTATTTACACAATAGGTGTGTGACTGGATTTATTTCTCTGCCTTTTTCTATAATGAAAACAGTTCTAGTTCATATGCTGAATTAACTGTGCAATTTCATGGGATGTATTAAGAATATCATTAATGTTTTTACAGTTACTCTGACACATAAGCAAGTTATAAAAATCTAATCTGTCTCATAAAAGTCTGGTAATTATTCCATGGAGCCTTTCCTTCAAGGTTATAGGCTTATTTGCTTATTTTAGTAATAAATTATTACTACCCATGTGTTGCAAAACTGTGATGACAGTGTCTTATTTTTGCTGAGACATATTAGAATACTCCCAAAAGGTGTTCTGTGTCCGGAGTATCTTGTGAAAGACCCTCAATTGAAGCTTCTGGGCTCGAGTTTCACTGGAGTGTTCAGTCCTTGGGAAGTAATTCTGGAGAGTTAGTCAAACCTTAAGTACTTTCTCAAGCCTTTACCCCCTGTTGCACTATAAACTCTAAAGCCCCCAAAATTAATTCATGGAAACAAAAAATAAACAAGAAATAAAAATTTCTTGCTGGCCAACATGTCACTATATTAATTGTATCATTCAAATTCAATAGCAATACTGAGGTGTAACTGTATACAAATTTTCCAAAATTTCTGTTGTTTCTTTTCATCTTGATCCACATATATCTGGAAAGTCAAATAAAACTTAAAAGAGATATATCAATCTATAATGGGCAAAAGGACAAGTGATTTTTCTCTATTTCCTAAGTATGTTTTCTAATTTTGAAAACTGTTTGAAATGACTTTTATAAAGACCTCACAGAAAAACAATGGCATTAGACATATATTTTCCTTTATGCAATAAATATCTCTCTGAAAATTCTATATTGTATACTGTTACACATTGTGACTGGAATGAAGATTCTGGGGTGGGAAAAACAGAAATGGACCATAGTTTCCTATTCTGATTTCTGCCAGGTGGGCTGGAGATTAGTTTCTCTTATTGATGGGTTGTTGTGTTTGATTAATCAGGAGCACAAATGAGCATGAAGTTATAGCAACATTTACCTATTAACTACTGTTTCTATGAAGTCCTTTTGTCCTTCTAACTTCTCCACCTCCAGATTCTGTGTTTGATTTAAATTCTTTCCTATACTTTCCTCCTCTATAATTTTTCTAATCCTCCCTTAATTGCCACAAGGTAACACTGAAATATAATTTAATATATAAACTTAATATTTTGTTCTTCAAGTAAATCATTAGAATTTATTGATATGGTCTTTCATACATTTTTAGTTCAGTAGCTTGAATAATTTATCTGGCTTTGAGCTAGGAAATTTGACTACATAAAATAATTCTATAAAATTTATTTAAATAAGACAAAAGAACACCACACTTTAAAATTAAGAACTTCTATTCAGGGCTAGGGATATAGTTCAGTAGTAGAGTGCTTGCATAGCAAGTGCCAAGCAATCCCCAGTACTCCAAAATAAAAGAAACATTTGCCAGGCATAGTGGAGCACATCTGTAATCCCAGCAGTTTGGGAGTCTGAGAAAGAAGGATTGCAAGTTCAAGGTCAGCCTCAGCAATTTAGCAAGTTCCTAAGCAACTCAGACCTGACCTAATAATTGAAAATTATTAAAAAATTAATAATAAAAAATTAAAAATTAAGAGAATAAAATCATGGCATTTGCAGGTAAATGGATGGAGCCGGAGAATATAATGAACTGAAGTAAGTCAGTCCCAAAAAACCAAGTGCCGAATTTTTTCTCTGATATAAGGAGGCTGATTCATAATGGGGATTGGGGGGCAGTGTGGGAGGAATATAAGAACTTCAGATAGGGCAAAGGGGAGGGAGGCATGGGGGTAGGAAGGACGATGGAATGAGACATACATCATACCCTAAGTACATGTATGAAAACATGAAAGGTGTAACTCTACTTTGTATACAACCAGAGACATGAAAAATTGTTCTATATTTGTGTAATATGAATTGAAATTACATTGTTCTCATATATAACAAATTAGAATAAATTTTTAAAAATCCAAATGCAATTAGTCAATTCAGAATAGAAATAAGGTAAACCTATTAAAGTAACTATACTTTGAATTAAAAAAAAAAAGGGCGGGGGATATAGCTCAGTGGTAAATTATCCCTAGTTTAAATGGTACCTCCCCTCCAAAAAAAAAACAAACTTCTATTCATCAAAAGACATCTTTAAGAAAGCAGAAGGATAATCTACAAGTTGGAAGATAAATGTAAAATGAATTTATGACAAATGATTGGTTATCAATAACACATAAAGAAGGGGATGGGATTGTGGCTCAGTGGTAGAGTGCTTGCCTAGAATGTGCGGGGCCTTGGGTTCGATCCTCAGCACCACATAAATGTAAAATAAAGATATTGTGTACACCTGGAACTGAAAAATAAGTATTAAAAAAAAATACATACAGATTACCTATAAATCATGGGCTGGGGTTGTGGCTCAGTGGTAGAGCACTTGCGTAACATGCATGAGGCCACCGGGTTTCATCCCCAGCACCACATAAAAAAACTAAATAAACAAAATAAATGTATTATGTCAAAAAAAAGGAAAAAGACTCATACATTTCATAATTTCATAGAAAAGGAAAAACATGACTAATATAACATACACAAGCCATTTAATCTCTTTAGTTAACAAGGAAATGAAAATTAAGACACAATATGAAGTAGTTTCATAACAACTAAAACAAAATGATATATTGTCCAGTAGTACGCTGCAGCTGGCTCATGTTAGCTCATAGGAACTGTGTGCCTCTCTTTCCAACTCTGCATTCAGTGATGTCATGTTGGTAGCTAGAAATCAGCCATGTGAAGAGAATTTTGGCCATGGAAAACTTTGCTACAAATCAGGGATTGGTTTTTCAGTGAGTCAGCTCATTAGCACACCACTATGTTAAGACATATATTCATATATGTAAAGACTTGCACTTTTACTTCCTAGATCTGCTGCCACTTAATAGCTCAAGAGATATATGCATAAAGTGGCAAAATTTTGTTTAAAGCAAAAGAAAAATAAACACAAAATTCAATGTAGTGGTTGGGGAAAGTAAGAGGGACTTAATAGGAGAAAAACAAAAGGACACTGAAGTACACTCTACAGGGAGAAAATTAAAATTAGTTCATGGAGGTTCAATATATTATTAAAAATACCTCAAAAAGATGGCCATACATGACCAAAAATGATAGTATGCTAAGAAAATGAAGAACAAAGGATTATTATTTATCTCCTTTTTTTGTACCTGGGGGCCATTAGAAGTTTTATCCTAGATTTATTTTAGCAAACTAAAAAATAAATACATTATATACTTCCTTCTACCCATATTAGACCTTTTTAGCAGTTGATCTGAATCAATTTTGGATTAATTTCCCTAAGAAAATCTGATAAAAGATACAGAAGCTCCCCCTTTCCAAAAATGCAGATAGCACACATGTACCTAGCCAATTCGGAATTTACACACACAGAAGCCTGTCCATAGCCTCTCATGTTTTAGAATTGTTGCCAATAGATAGGATAATCGGTTATGAAAAATTCAATGTGATTAAACTAAAGAATGAATTCAATAACCATGACCTGTTGGTGAGACAATGGGAGAAAGAACAGTTTTAGGCATAACCATAGGTAAGGCATTTTTCTTAATCTAACCTCAATTTTCTCATTGTAACTAAGAGACTAAATTAGATAATTGCTAAGGTTCTCTCCAGATCTAAAATTAAGTCTATAAATAAGTGAGGGCCCAGTTTTAATAAATTCCATTAAAATAAAGATAAGTTCTTTAAATTTTAGGCATACCTTTTCTCCGCTTAGAAAACCAGACATCTGTTTCTGTCAAAAGCTGTTTTAAGGATCCATTCCAAGAAGGCACAAGTTGAAGGAACATCCACTGAGTTTAAAAAAAAAGAAAAAACATTTGACTTCATCATTTTGTGATTATATTTTCAAACTGCTCCCACCTTTAAACATAACACCTTAAAATTTTAAATTTACTCTTTTATAAGCAAAAGACAAAAAGTATAACTATTATATGACATCTTTACCAGCTTTAAATTCATCATGGCATTAATCATAGTCCAATGATAAAAGCCAAATGTGCTTGTGTCAAGAAGTAAGCTAATCCCTAAAATTTATGGTCATGGATACAACTTAGATTAATGTGTTAAATAATCTTATTTTATGCATATTATCAACTTTATGCTAACTTATTCATTAATTAACAAGTCAATTTCACTAAATACTATGTAAGGATAAAGAATCAAAGTCAGGTACATTGGCACATGCCTGTAGTCCTAGCTACTTGGGAAGCAAAGGCAGGAAGATTGCTTCAGTCCAGAAGTCTGAAACCAGTTTACACAACATAGTGAGAGCCCATCCCATTAATAAATAAATAAATAAATAAAATTAAGCACGGGAAAAAGGATTATCTTATTGCTGTTGAAACAGTATCCAGAGTAGTTAAGAGTATGGACTTTTATATCCTAGATATGCTACTTAATAGCTCAACAAATTGCCTATTTTTTTCTGGGCCTTAATTTCTTCAACTGCAAAATGAGCATGATAATGTGTCTACCTTATAGGATATTAAAAGAATTAATAGAATGGGGACTAATGGAGATGATACCACGTTAAGTGTTAGCATTTATCATTACTAGCATAAAAGCAGTAATAGTAATGGTACGAAAGAATTAATACTATCTTAGTTTAGAGATAGAAATGGACCTTCTATAACTTTATGAATAACCCACACACTAAACTTCCTTAAGAAAAACAGTAATGGAATCCCACCTCTGCCATAGAGAGAAACAATCCTAATCATATAACCCAGAAGGCGTCTCAATCCCAAATTTCACAACTATGTTACATGTAGACAGTGCTCCAAGTCAGGGACAAAAAGCTAAAGGCAAAATTATGTAATTGGAAGGGAGCAGTGAGCCAGAACTCATAATACCTGGCCTTTGCCACTTAGTCATTATAAGAATTCTGAGTCTCACCATCTGTAGTAAAAGAATAATAGCTGATTTATTTCTTCAGAACTATGAAAATTAGATTAAAACATGTTGAAACCTTTCAAAAGGATGAATTACAGGTAGGCCTCTAGAAGAATAATTTCACCTTTTACTAGAAAAATTATTTGTGAAAATTTCATCATAAAATCTTGAATTCTACTAAAGCTCAACTTTGAAAACATTCCTGAAAACCATATAAAACATTTAAATTCTAAGATAACATCTTTTTACATGAAACATTTCTGATTATGTAAAGATATAACAAAAACATGTTTATGGTTGAAAAAATTCTGGGAAAAAACAAAAAGTACTCCTAAGATAGAAAAGAACAAAAAATAAAGTTATCACTCATGAAATCCCTAAATATACTTTTTAACATTTTAGCAAATAGTTCCAACTTACAATGGTTGATTTAAGATTCTTCAACTTAATGATGGTACAAAGTGTACCCATAAAACCATGACTTTTTCACTTTCAGTGCAGTATTTAATAAATTATGTGAATTATGCAACACTTATTATTTTACGATAGGATTTGTATTAGATGATTTTTGTATAACTGTATGCGATGTGAGCATGTTTAAGTAGATGAGTCTAAGCTATGATGTTCATTGAGTTAGTTGTATTAAATGCATTTTTGACAATGATATTTTCAACTTATGTTAAGTTTGTTTATCAGGATGTAACCCCATCACAAGTCAAGGAACATTTGTAGCTTCTGTTCTTTTTCATGCATTCATAACCATCCCTTTATCACTGGATACCAGCTATTGCCAGGTATTCACTATAATGAGCAAGGCTGAGGGGATATCCTTGTGTATATCATATTATGTGAATACCTTTTTAAGAGCTGTATAGACGTCCATCTCCACTTGCATCACAAATAAGTTAGATGAACCAATAAGCTGTTTCATAATGTTTATACTGAAAAAGATGAAACAGAAGCGTGAGCTTAATCTTCACACACAGACTGAAGGATGCTGGTAGAATGAAAAACTGTTTTTATCAAACAAAAACGGAATTAAAAACTATAACAGTCTTTTGCCCAAGACCTATCTTGGTTAATAATCTATCTGAATACAATAGTACTAGTAATAAAAATACAGTAATACTAGTAATTCACAAAGTACATTATCTTTTTTTCACACTGACAGGGAAAAAATTCTAGCCATTAAACAACAACAAAATTATAAACTATGTTTTAAAATGAAAATTTAAAAAGATATTTGAACTTCCCTTATTCCATAATGTATTTAAAAATTTTTTTTCACCTGTCCCCCCCGGATCACCCCCCAAACCAACAAAATTGGTATCTCAGGAAGCTAAACAATGCTGTCTTTGGTTTTACACCATTTCCTCCAGAATATCATATATTCCTGACATTTGTAACCTAAATCATTTAAAAGTTCATTTCCACCCTGAATTTCTCAGCCCCATCATATATCTTAACCTCACTATTACAAAAAAGCTCCCTGACATTAGAAACAAGGACATAATCACTTCTGCATCCCTCATAGCTCTTAAAAGAATACCTTTAATATATAATGGACATTCAGAAAGTATTTTTTGAAGGAAGGAAAGGGAAGAGAAGGGGGGATAATAAACAAACAATTTCAAAAGCAACCTAATTGTGAATTTAATTTAATTAGGCTTAGCAAAAATTTTATATCAGATATAATTTCTCAAATACAGTTTAAGAAATATAAGAAACTTTTAATTCTTCCAGAGCCTGACAGAAGTAACACTGAAACTTCTCTATAGTCTTATAGTAGCAACACATTTTTCTGTTAAAATTGGTTAAACAAAATATACATAGTATCATCATTTTATAAAGAAAAGAAATTTGTGTAGCATTTTTTTCAGTTCATGGATGTAAAAATATGTTTTGTGTTCTACAAAAATAACTTGCATACTTTAACAAATGAAAAACATTATTCTAGGATATTAATTACAAAGTATTTAAAATTCAAATACCTGAGTTCTTTAAAAAGCTCAACATTCTGGTGAGTCATCAAATTGTTTAGAAGCCACTCAAGGCACCTGAAATTAAAATACTTAATTATTACATTATATATATTTATAATTAACCAAGTAGGTCTTACAATTAAGATAAAAACAGAATATTAATCTTGCTAGGACATGCTCAAAATTTTTAGTTTAACAATATGAAATTTAGTATTGCTTTTGTCAGTAGTTATTAAGGAAATATTTCCTTGATATTATAGCATTTCTACTTAAGAAAAACATTTCTACTTAAGAAAAAATACCATTTCAGGTTTGTGTTAAATAGTTTATGATGGGGCTTGCACATATCTTTAAGATCTCAAAACGAGTTCTGCAATTCTCAAGAGTTATAAAAAAAATTGCCAATAGTTGTACTGATAAAATATCTATTAAACCTACTCCTTAAATAATTTTAATAGAAAATGTGAAGAGTGACCATAGTTTTTATAAGCTTGTATAACCCACCCATGGTCACTTAAAAAGACAACACTCTTGAGGAATTTACTAATTAGTTCAAAAGAAAAAGGGACTTTTAAAATAATAAGATTCTAACCCCCTAGTCTTTTTTCTTTTCTTAATTCTTTTATTTTCTTATAACTCTACATACATTCTCTTAAGAAATCAAAGCAACCAAATTCCCAGAAGTGGAATGGGAAGAAAAACAAGAAAAGTAAACTCACTTTTTCTTTACAGAATCTAATCCATAGGTCCCTGCTGATGTGTAATAGCCACATACAGTTTTCACATTAATTGTTTCCTTCATTGTCTCACCACACTGCTGTATTAAACCATCCTGTAAATATAAATAAGCACTGGAAAGGCCCATTTCATGTGGGAAAAATTAGTTCTGATATGTGCTTTTACATATTAAAAAGTTTTTTTAAAAAAAAGGAAGAAAGAAAGAAAACTCATTAAGTGCAGCAAATCTAAATTTTTTATAAGTCCAATAAAAATATAGAAAAAAAAATTCCCCAAGTATTCAACTTAATACTTGGAACTGAAAAATGGAAGTTGGGGCAGAGCAATAAGGTAAATAAATATAAATATTATTATTCTCTTTGTTTTCTATTTTTCCCCCTCTATGGGACCTTTGCAAATTTCTTTGGCAGCACTTTGTCTGTCTTGCCTGTTCTTTTAAAATTAAGAACTCTCTACATAATCAACCAGCTAACCATGTAACAGGTTAGACAAGTAAATAATATGAATTATCAGAGAGTTCCTATTAAAGTTTAAAACACCTATCAATATCTAAGACATTCCCATAAAACTAGTATAAACAACTTACATTAAAATTTTAATCTGAAATGTTTATATGGTTTCAAATGAACAAACTTTAATATATAGAAAGAATAATGATGCTTTTCATTCAAATTTCTGAAATACATTCATCATGCAAGTATATTATTAAGTTAGAATTAGTAAATTACAAAAATAAGGCGGAAAGTCAATGTAGAACAAAACCAAAAGGACTTAAGTTAGAAAATAAAGTACACTTCATTGGAAATACGTATTGAAAGGATCAAAATATTTTTAAAAATCAAATTTTTACCAAGGATATTTAGCAAGTTGTTATAAATGCCAAATAAAAGGAAGCATTTTTTAAAAAAATTAACACATTGATACAAAATGATTTTTAAACTTACCTGACAATCATTCCAGACTCCTCCCCTTTCTCTTAACACTTTATCTGTCACCTTACCCAATGGATTATCCTTATTTAATCTTTTGGCTATCCATCTTTCCACTCCATGTTTATTGCCACTACTTTAACTTGGACTTCACTTGGACTCCTGCCCCATAGGCTTTTGTCTCTAATGTACTCATTTTTCATTTTCTCTTCAATACATTCTTCACACATCGATCCTGAAGTATTCTTTCTAAAGCATAACTTTGTCTTTCTTCTGATTAAAATCTTCCAAAAGTACTTACATATAAAGGCTAACTTCATAGGAATATATAGAGGGAACTTCATAATCTGTCTTCCACCTCTCTTTCTACAAGCCCTGTTATAGTTTTGCTAGAGCCATGCTCCTCTTAGATTCTCTAGTCCTCCATCATTTCACATCTCTAGGTCTTAGCTTACTCTGTTCCCTATGTCTGAAATGCTCTTCCTCCCTCTTTCCTCATACAATGTATGACTCAATTTGGAAACATCCTCCTATGACACTATTGGGTTATAAAATGACTAATTCTTTCTTTATGGATCTACTAAATCCTACAAGATTTTTATACCTTTAATTTTGGACAGCTCTTATTTTACCTTTGGATTTATACATCAACCCTTCCCCTTTCTACACACACATACATATACTATACTGTGAGCTTCGTGAAGGTAGGACTACATTGTTGTTTCAAAAATTGACACACACAAATGGTATGTATTTAGGGACTATATCTTAATTTACCCTTGGATCTCTATGCCTAATTTGACATATTGATCAACACACTTTTGTTAAATGAATAAATCTGTCATTCTAAGATTAAAACATATAAATGTGGTTTACACATAATTATGTAACAACTAAGAAAAAATTTACATAGTAGCATACATGTTTTTTGAACTCATGAACTAAATTAATTAGTAATCAGAAAACATCTGTTTAATAGTGTAAATAAGTCATTAATAGAAATAGGTAAATGGACTTAGACAAGTAAATATTTTCCATATTACAGTCATACAAAGATAGTGACATGGAAATAGTTTGTATTTGTTGTACACAGACATAAACCCCCACCCCAGTTATAATTAATTGCTTTTGGTTAAGCATTTTAAATGATTTATAACAAATAATACATTTATACATTTAATTTTCATTTGAAAATTATAAAGGCTTAACTTTATTTTTGGAAAGATATGTTGAAACAAAGAAAACACTGATTTTTTTTTTTTTTAAATAATGTGCATACTTACCAACTGCAGCATACAAGCTGCTGCCAAAATAGCAATAACTCGACTGGGCTTTATTAAGACATCATCTCGATACAGTGATCCAAATGCAACCTGCAGTGCTGAAAGTAGAAAGTGCACACGGAGAATTAAATAACAAAAATTAAATCTATAAGATTATTGCAAAAGTAATGACTGTCTTCACAGTGATATTTATTTAAATCTCATACACACATAAAAGGATAAGTATCATAATTAAAATAGTAGTAATGGTTACTCATTGATGATGTTAATATAACAATGTTGTAAATTTTGTTTATTTTATGAAATTTGGCTGCATTTTTTAAAGTCTAATCTTGATGTTTTTGACTAGAATAAAGATGTCCTTTGAATTTTTATAAGATATTCCTGAATAGAGCAATCATTCAGTACAAGTTCTCACTGATAATCTTAATTCTGCCTTGTTCAGTGATTCACCACTGGAGAGTATGGTACATAGCTCCTGGTCCTATCCACACCACACTCACAGCTATCTAGGCCTGGCCATCCTTCTCTCCACTGCTACTCTCATCAGTGTTCTACGTGGTTTGTTTTGTAAACATTCTCAAGTTTCCTTTTTGCCTTTGTGGTGAGCACTGGGTATCCCCCATTTGGGCTATCAATGAGGGGAGCAGAAGGAGCACTGGAATAGGAATAAGGAAAGAAATAGTGTGACTGCAGGATCACTAAACTGTTCTCAGATCCAAAACAAGTCCCTATCTCTTTAGACCTTGAATTCCTCAATTAAGTATCCCTTCACTCTAAAATAACACAAATTACATGATTCATACCCTTCCTGTTTGCAGAAGAACAATCTTCACACATTATTTTATAAGTGGTCATACATTTCCTTCCTTCCCCCTACATTTCATATCCCAGGCAGACATATTTACAAAGGCAAGTAAACAAATTTGACAAAGTCCACAAGACTAAACAGATCTAGGACAGGAAGAACAAGACTGATATAGTATTAGAGTAAATTAATATAAAATTATTAGCTTCCAATGTTAAATGGAACTTTTTCCTAGCTGACAAGGTTAGAAGGAAATAATTATTCTCTATCAAAATAATAAATTTTATGAAAGAAATGTTTTATGATTTTTGCATAATAGTAATTATGGAGGAAGTACCTTCTATATCAATATTCTGGTCAGGAATCTCCAGTTCAATAATATTCATGCTGGATTCTTTCCAAGAACCACTGAACATACTAGAAAAGTAGCCTGACTTAAAAAAAAAAAAAAAAGTCAAAGATTATCTAGTACTTTGTCTCCCAAATTATTTTCTAATTTCCAGAGAAAAAGAATTGTCAAATATAACCACAGAAGAAAAGAAATAAAGATAAGGCTATTATTAGGTATATCAAATTATGTCAGTTTAGTACAATTTTAACACAAACTAAATCAAATTTTATATTACTATCTGAATAGTCCTCACACTGTTGAATCCTTACTGTGCCCCTTCATGGTGATAAAGGGTTTAGATCAGTTCCAAGTTAATACATAAGTATGTTCCCCCAAAGAAACCAGGAAAAATTCTGATTTTATTTAATCAGAAAAATCCAGAATGAACCTGAAATCTAGGAAGTCTTTACTTATCTTATAAATAGCATCCCTCAGAATTACAGTACTTCAGAATAGATCAAATATGAACTAATTTATTTTAAAAATTTTACTGAGTCTTTATTACAGTTATCCCTTTGAATGGTTCCAAGATCCCTTGCAGATACCAAAATCTGAAGCTGCTCAAGTTTCTTATATTTCCATGTAATCTATGCATATCCTCTCCTATACTTTAAATCATTTGAAGATTACTCCTAATGCAATGTACATGCTGTGTAATTAGTTGTTACACTTTTTTTTTTTTTTAGGGGATAATGATAAGAAAAGTCTGTATATGTCTTAGTACAGATGGAATTTTCTTTTTTCTGGATATTTTTAAACCACTGTCAGATTTATTTATTTTTATGTGGTGCTGAGGATCAAACCCAGTGCCTCACACGTGAAAGGCAAGCATTCTACCACTGAGCTACAACTCCAGCCCCTATTTTATTCTATTTTGAAAGTTCTGAATCTTTAACAATAGCAGACAGGAAAATTATCAGCACAAACATAAAATAGGTACATCAGCTAAATTCTAAATGACATAGTTTATATATACTTTTTGTTCATCTTGTTTTTTTTTTTTTTTTTGGTGGTGGTGGGGTAATTGGGGATTGAATTATTGAATTCAGGGGCACTTGACCACTGAGCCACATCCCCAGCCCTATTTTGTATTTTATTTAGAGACAGGGTCTCACTGAGTTGCTTAGTGCCTCTCAGTTGCTGAGTCTGGCTTTGACTCGCCTCCTGTCTCAGCCTCCCAAGCTGCTGGGAATACAGGCGTGTGCCACTGCGCCTGGTTTATTTTGTTTTTAACTAAACTAGGTTTCCCAAGACAGAATAAAGGGTTAAATGTCAAGAACCTTTCAGTCACATTCAACTTGAACTTCAAAGCAACATTTCAGATGAATTTATGCAAATGAACAATCACAAATAAAATAAATTTAGCAATATTAACTTTAATAAACCATTTTATCCTGACTTTTCCCTCTTTATCAACAGACGGCACTGAAATAAGCACCTTGTTGAAGTAATGACTATTGCTGGGCTAGCATGACAGTGAGTTTCAAGTCTCTTATTTAGGCCAAACTAAGTTTTCACTGACAATGTTTACCATCTTTCTAGTAAAATACTTATTTAAAAAAAAATTTTTTTAGTTGTACACAATACCATTTATTTATTTATTTATGGTGCTGAGGATCTTCGAACTCAGGGCCTTGTACATGTGCAAAATGAGCGTTCTACCACTGAGCCATAACCCCAACCCCTTTCTAGTAAAATACTTACTATCAGATGAAAGGATTTTATTACTGTCCATGCGAAAGATTACTGTGAAATGCAATGAGGAAGAACAAAAGTTTGAGTTTCTTTAAGTAACTACCCTGGTAACCAACAGAAAAATAAAATACTTACTTGACATAAATATATTTTGTGTAAGCTCCACTCTTCTCCGAGAGCACAAATCTTAATGTCACTGTTTTCACCATTCAAAAATAATGTTTGATAAATATATTTAGATGTGCTCTTTAATTTTTTCCTGTTGAAAGACATGTAAAAGTTATATATATATAAAAACCTGAATGTTTTATTGATTTTGAAGACATTTTAAAATACTCCTTTTGTTCAATTTCAATTAGAGTTTATTTGTCCATTGTGTAAAAAAAAAGAGGAGGGAATATTATATATTCAAATTTTCTCATTTCTAGAAGAGTACAGAGATAATACCTAGTAGCCACCTCTGGGGCATTCCATTCACAAGGGGGACCAGTGAATAGATAGGGGCAGCAGCATGGGAAGGAGACCTTTCTCTACGCACCTTTTATATTTTTTTAAATCTTTGAATTAATTTTAATTATGTATTTAATAAATTAAGAAGATAAGTCAGCATGGTGGTTTTTGCTTTTTTCCTTATTTAGGAATCAGCATAGTTATAGAGAATTTCAATATAACTGCAATAATCTGCTGTGCACCTAAAAAATGAAGAACAAGAGTGAAAATTCCCTACCCAAGTAATTAGTAAAATAATTTACATCTAACCTTATTGGATACCAAACTGGACTAGTTATGACTGGTTTTAAACTGACTTCCCATCTGTTTGGACAAATGGTCTGAAACCTTAAATCAAAGGTTTTCGAAGTTGTGCTCATGAAAGAAGCATTTTAGGGTTCACCAAGGAGAGGGAAACAGTGAACTCTAGACACCTAACTTCACCCAGAGCAACACCAGCCACTACCTCTATAAACACACTGGATTTCTGCATAAGATTTAACTTAAAGGAAGACTTAAAAAGTTTAGAAATCATTAAGCAAGATGATCTAGTAAATAAGGAAAGCATAGGCAAAAGCTGATCAGTCTTTACAATTTTTGACTAATTCTGACAGCTTTCTTAGGTGGTTAAAAATTTTTAAATTTCTTCTTAAAAATGAAGTCATTGTTTCAGATGGCATCTTGAACCAGTGAATTTAATACCTCTTCCCAACAGATATTAAACATAGCACAGTAGGTTGGGCATGTAGCATGTTCCTGTAGTCTCAGCTACTCTGGAGGTTGAGGCAGGAGGGTAACTTGAACTCAAAAGTTTAAAGCCAACCTGGGTAAAACAGTAAGACTCCTCCCTAAAAAAAAAAAAAGTACAAAAATAGCACATACTTTTGTGGTAGATAGACATGGGTTTGAGGCCCTGGTCTCCTACAGCTCAGTTACACTGTAAAAAGATAATATGAATAATATCTACTTCATTGAGTTATTGTGAGAAGTAAAGGAGACAACGTGGTTTCTGATTCCTGATAGTACCACGAGTACATGTTTGATTCCCATCCCTCCCAAATCACATTAAAGAACAAATGCATAAAAAGGAATATTACATTCACAGTAACAAAAATATGACAGTGGGCTCATCATCTGATAAGAGACATATTAGGAATCTGAAAATTAGAGAATAAACTGGAATAAAAAAGTAGAGAAAGCCACAGCACAAAATATATTATAAAGGGCTCAGATGGAGGTTAAGATTTTGTGTCTTTCAGAACCCTGTGGGGCGGGTGGAAGGAAGGAAATATGAAAATTTGTCCTCCTTAGTGGCCTCCCTTACTCTATGAACACAGAGTACAAACACCCAGGCAAAAAGACTTCAGGGTTTTTCTACAAAAAACCAATCTACCAGAAGACCTAAGGCTTTTAATGTAAGTATTGGTGATCCAGACAAAGCAATCCTTACTCTGGAATTTGAGGAATCTGTAGCCTATCAGCTCCCAACCCATTCATCCTCAGTCATGATTCCCAAACTGTGTGCCAAAATACCTGGAACACCGCAGCAAACTAGATAGGCACTATAGCATATATTAAATTTGAAGAAAACACATTTTTTAGACAACATGTAATCTACCACTATTAAGTTGTTTGGACTTAATCATCAGGTATTTCTTCTGCATTAAGGGGAACCATAAAAAATTACTATGACACTAAGGGCACTGTGAACCCAGAAAGTTTGGAACTCTCTACTCTAAAACAAAGAAAACCCACGTTTCCAATTCAGTCAATCTTCCTACTCAAAGAAGAGGCTTATGGAAATACAACTATTTGCTTACTAAAACACATGTACACATACAAAGCAGCAACTCATTCTTAAACATAAGAGGACAACCAAGGATTACCCAACAAAATAAAAAGAGAATGACCAGAAGAAGTATCTAATTCAGGAAAAGAGAATTTTAAAACCCTCTCATTCATATACTTAGATATCTCAGATTATTACACTTATAAGGTGCTATGAAAAAGAAGTACTCAGAACAAGAAAGAGTTCTTACAGACTATTATTATGAATCTCTAGATTGTAAGGCTCCAGCAATTATCAAGGCCATCAAAAGACCCATAATTAGGTCCATTCTAGTTCAATTTAAAAACACCAGAGATGGGCTGGGGTTGTAGGTCAGTGGTAGAGCACTTGCCTAGCATGTGTAAGGCACTGGGTTCGATTCTCAAAACCAAATATAAATAAATAAAGTCCATTGACAACTAAGAAAATATAAATTAAAAAAAAGAGAAAAAAAATCCAAATGTGTCATAAAGAAAAGTCACCTAAAAAGAAAAGAGAATTAGATCAGGATCAAATGTTTCAACCATGCTGTAAGATAGAAGACAATGAAGTAATGTGATCAAACATATAAAATTATTATAGAGTTTCAGATCCAAAGTATGAATAAAGAAAGAGAGATAAAATTTGTATTTAGATATGCATAAATTATCCTATTTTGTGCTCTTTCATGAGAAAATACTTGGAAGATTTAGATCACTAAAAGAATGAAAAAAAAGGAAAAAAAAATACAGGCCACAGAAAACAGTGGCTCTAATCCAATCCTAAAATGAGGTGAAATAAGTCCCAGAATAGGAGTAGACAAGTCCAGATTGGAAAAGAAGGATGGAGGAACCCTGGAGGGAAGTCTAGGATTTAGAGGAGATGAATTCCATGCAACTGTGTTTCAGAAGGTAGAAAAATCTGAAGATATTATTCTTTTGTCAACAAGGCAGCCAGAAACTCCGAGACAACAAAAAGCAATCCAAAAAGGCACTGTCCAAATAAGATACAAACAAAAACAGCCCAACTTTAAGATTCCACTTAACAATGAAGTTCAAAAATTTCTCCCTTTGAACAGAGGGTTGTGACATTGGACTCACCAAGTATGATTTATAATCCTAGCACACTACTTGACTCTGCAGCAATCTTTACATAGTTATAACAATAAATACTGTTTACTAGATTTCAATTTTTAGGCACAAACTATGGACAAAGCACTGGTTGGAGAACAGTGTGGATTTTAATAGTCCTGTTAATGAAAAAGTAAGACAAGCACTTAACCAAAGGTATGAGGTAGAAAGTAGGCCTAGAAGATAAAATTTCTTCTGAGGTAGTTTGTTAGGCAGGAAAGCACAATAAACAACCTTGAGAAGTGTATAAACGCCAACACATACAATTGTAGGTCTCAATATTTTCTTATTTTCCATGAAAACATACATTCTGATAAGCATTTTCTAGTAAAGCTTACTTCAAAGACTTTCCCTTATAGTCTGACCACGTAGTCCAGGAATTGGCACATTTTTCTGTAATGGTCTAGATGATAAAAATCTTCAGCTTTGGCCCAGCAATTTTGGGGGTACTCCCATGGAAAGTTCTCTACTCGCCAGTCCCAGCCTATCACACTTAGCAAACTTTTTCACCATCCACTAAACATATATGTTCAGTGGATGGCAAATTTTAGCTTGGGGAGGGAGGGATCTATTTCAAATTTGTTCTTTCCTTGGATATTCTGCCTCAGCCTTACAAAAAGTGACTATTTCCTGTATTTTCTATCCCTATATTTTTAAGAGATCTCTTTACCTTAATATTTGCCCTTAGCAGTTAATTCCCTGTTTCTGTTAATGTTTATATTTAAATTATCCCTGTTCAAATTACTGTGTGGTTTCTTTCAAATGGGCACTGACATATATTTCAATAATTATATTAAAAATATGTGGTCTAAATAATAACTATAAGGCAGAGATTGCTCTATTGGATTAAAAAAAAGGCAAGACTCAACTAAATGCTGTCTCTATGATATCTACTTTAAATATAAAGACATAGGTAAAAAGTGAAAGGATAAAATAAATAAATAAATACATATAACAATTATCAAAGAAAGTGGTCAAATAACCCAATTAATAAATGGGCAAATGAATTAAACAGACACTTCTTAAAAGAAGAAATACAAATGGCCAACAAATATATGAAAAAATGTTCAACATCGTTTGCAATCAAAACTACATTTTATCTCACATCAGTCAGAATGGCAGTCATCAAGAATACAAACAATAATAAATGCTGGAGAGGATGTGGAGAAAAAGGAACACTTTTACACTGTTGGCAAATTAGTATGACCACTATGGAAATCACTATGGAATGATGTTGGTAAATTAGTACAACCACTATAAGTATGGAGGTTCCTCCAAAGACTAGGTACAGAACCACTATATAGCCAGCTGTACCACTCCTTGGTATTTATCCTAAAGAATTAAAGACATCATACTTCAGTGATAAATGCATAACCATGTCTATAGCAGTACAATGCACAATAGACAAACTATGGGACTAGCCTATGTTTCCATCACCAGATGAATGGATAAAAAAAAAAAATGTGGTATATATACACAACGGAGTTTTATTCATGAAATCATGTCATTTGCAGAAAAATGGATGGAACTAGAGACCATTAGGCCAAGCAAATAAGCCAAACTCAGAAGGTCAAGGGTCAAATGTTTTCTCTCATATGTGGAAGGTAGAGAGGGGGCAGGATCTCATGAAGATCAAAGGGAGATTAAGGGACCAGGAGGTGGGAGGTAAGGAGGAATGGGGGAAGGGGAGAAGTGCTGGGGAGTGATGATGGCCAAATTATTTTGTTATGTTGTGCATGTATGAATATTTAACAACAAATTCCATCATTATGTATAACTATGATGCACCAATAAAAAATGTGGAAAGAGAAAAAATTTAAAAAAAATAAAGAAAGTGGTAGTGGCTATATTGCCAGTGACAAAGAGGAATGAATATTTTATAATAATAAAAGGACCATTTAATCCTGAGTGGGTATATGCCAGACACTGTGCACCATGTTCATTCTCAAATTTGTGTTAACTATGAAGTGGTTTTAATATCTATATTTTACATATGAAGAATTTGAAGTACAGAATACAGACATGAACTTAGAATCTAAGTGCTTAAAACTGCTACAGTGAGTACTATGGCACATGTCCAAGTAATCCCAGCAGCTAGGGAGGTTGAGGCAGGAGGATCACAAGTTGAAAGCCAGCCTAAGCAACTCAGCCAGACTCTGTCTCAAAATAAAAAAATAAAAAAGGTTTGGGGATGTGGCTCAGTGTTTGGGTTCAATCCCCAGTAACAAAAAAATAAAATAAAAACTGTGCTACAGTGACTCTTTAGAAAGGTTACTGAAGGAGGGAGCAGAGGAGGAAAAGGAAAATACTGGGAAACAATATTGACCAAAATATCCTGTGCTTGTACAAATATGGAACAATAAATTCAACAATTATGCATAATTATGATGAACCAATAAAAAATATGGGGGGGAGTAGGGGTCAATTTTTTTGGTAAATAAATACAAATTAACATAAAACCATATAAAAAGTTTTATAAATTAAACTATTAAACAGCTTTTACCCATGATACTTACCTCTATCATTGATCTGTTACACTACCGTCATGACACTTTTTTACAATATGTAACACTTCTGTAGCAAAAAATTTTGAATCATTTTTAAAGTTCATTTTAAAAAAATACATCTATTGATTCCGCCAATGACCTTAAAAATTGTTACGTGAAGAAATATTCTACTTATAAATTACATTCTAGTTCACAAGCAAATATTTTGTTTTCCAACTTTTCCAAAAAAAAAAAAAAAAAAAGGTAAGCACGCTCTCTGCAGCACACAGCTTGACAGATCCGCGGTCAATGATTTCGTCTACTACAGACTTTGAAAGACTTTGTTCCCTATTAGGAATAAAGGCACACTATTTGATAAACTTCAAGTTTATACATAAGGAGAACTGGGCGCAATTACTTCCTCTTTACTGAGTGAGCGACAATAAAGGTGCCCATCTTGGGCATCAAATTTACGCCTGTATACTATTTTGGCAACCGGATGCAAAACAATTTATTCTGCGGTAACCGCTCAGAGAGGGCGAAGGTGTACTACGGAAGGCCAGCCAGTCGGTCGGTCGTTCTCCAGGGTTGAAAGAGAGGCAAGCTCTAGCTGGCGTTCCTCAGTCTCATCCTGAGGCTGAAACAACACCCCGGCAGCGTCAGTGATTTACAAGGCAGAACATGAGGCGTCTCCCGGATCTGCCTTGTAGCAGGGTTCGTTCATTTACTCGGTCAAGGGCACATCCACTCTTTACTGGCGGGGGGACGCCGCATCCAGCCAGGACACTGGACGCCGGCTCCACCCCAGGCCCAACAGGTGCAGGTGCGGGTGCGGGTGTGGGTCAGCTGGGGAGCGCCCCTCCACGTACCTTCGAGGAGTGTTGAGGAGCCTCTGCTGCTCGTCGCCTTCATCCTCATCCTCGTCTGTCTCGGAGTCAGGGTGACAGTAGCAGAAGGCCCCGCTACTCCGCTTGCGTTTGCGGCTACCCGGGCAGTAACAGAAGCTGTGGCCAGCCGCGTCGCCGCCAGTCTCCGGCCTCCGGGCAGAGCCCCCGACTCCGGGAACGGGCTCCTGTGGAGCTCGGGCTCGCCCAGGGTGGCGCAGCACTCGGCTGCTAAGCGAGCCCATGGGATAGCGCTCCCTGGTCCTTCAGGGAGCACGCTTCAGGACACCCAGAGGAGAGGGTCTCCCGCCATGGCCCGGCCGCTGCCGGCCTCCTCCCAGCCTAGGTGCCTACACAGCCACCTTCTCACGCGCAGCCCCAACGGTTGAAGAGGACGCTACCGCCTCCATCCTCGGCCCCGCCCGCCGCGTCCAGCCGCGCCGCGCGCCGAGACCGCAGAACCTCGCCCCCTCCCCCGCCTCCGCCTATCGCAACAAAGCGCGGACCGTTCGGCGCAAGCGCGCGACGAGCCTCCGGAAGGGGCGGGGAACCGCGAGTGCGTGGCTGCGGGAGCCTGCGCAGGACGGAGCGCGCGGGTACGGCGGAGGGCTTCCTAGCCTGCGGTTGACCTGGTGTTTTTGCTAACGTGCACTGTAGGGCTGTTCTCGTTGTTCGCTGTAGTTCACACACGTCTTTTGCATGAGAAGTCGTTCATTCTTTCTACAAAGTCCTTTGGGCTGCAGATAATTACTGGGCCTTGTGCTAGACGAGAAGCAAGAACACCTTCTGTTCAGGCTTCTCGAAGGAGCTCTCACTTCCTGGGGTCCGACCCTGCAGGTTTGGGGCATGATTTCCTGTGAGAAGAGCACTTAGAAGGAGGAACTACGTGGATCGCCCGAGTTTCTTCAGCCCTGGGTTGTGGCAAACATTTCCTGCACTCCCCTCCTCCTCGCCCTTTAAACCCAGGGCCTCATAGATGCTACGCACTCACTCTACCTTGGAGCTACATTCCCAGCCCTCTGCACTCTTTTCCTTTACTCCCAGCACCAGTGGGACGTCTGAAACTTTGTCAGAATTTAAAAATACCTTCAGGAGGCCCTAGCAAAATTAACAGGTGTCTGCGTGGAATAGCACTTTTTGCAATAGATTGGACAGCTAGCTTTTGGTTGCTGCCTCTCTTTCTGCCACCCCAACCCACCCTTTGCCCTTTTTGTATTGGGGGCTGAATCCAAGGGTGCTTTGCCACTGGGATACATCCCCAGACCTTTTACTTAGCAGGTAGCCCAACTCTGTTATCCAGACTGGCCTCAAACCTGCAATCCTCCTGCCTCGGCCTCCCAAGTCACTGGGATTCCAGGTGTGGGCCGTCGTGCCTGGCAACTTCTGCTACTTTTTAAGTAAAATATTTACAATGAAATCTAATAGAGTAATGTGAACACCTGTGGACACCCCCCACCCCCGCCCCGCCACTGACTTGAAATTTTTTTTTATGGTAGTTGATTTATTCTAACCCTCCACCCAGCTTTATTGATATATAACTGATGATTTGTTCTTTTAAAATAGGACAATAAAAATATGAAGTTCCCTGTGTACCCACTTTCCATCTCCATTTCCATTCCCAGTGGTGATCACTGTCATGAGAATGGTGTATATCATTACTCCCATGCATATCCTTGCATGCACACCATAAACAATGTATTTTGCACATTTAGACATATAATTAAAGGAAATCATATAATACCCATCATTCTGCACCTTTCTCCTCTCTCAAAATGATACTTTTGATTAAATCTCTAGATCACTTTTCTCTGCTCATTGTAAGACTGACCCATAATTTGTTTATCCACTCTCTTAGTGAGTCAGATTATTTCTAATTCTCTAACGGAGCAAAAATGAACATTATGTGCAAGAGATTCATCATGTAGATCTCCCAACAGGGGGTTTGCTGGGAAGTCTTCAACTCTACCAGCTATTGTTGAAGTTGCTCTCAATTGATTGCACCAAATGCACCAATTTATATTCCCCTTGGCAGCATGTGTAGTTTGGGGGTCCCAGTGGACTGGTATCTGATTCATTCCTGAGAAATCTGAACTGGAGAACCTAGCTGAGGCAGCTTGGGATGGAAGTGGGAGGCAGAGAATGATGGCTGCAATAGTACCAGCTTGAACGCACAGAATTTGTTAGCATAAATTTGTTAGCATAAATGTGCAAGTGTTTCCCATGGAACAGATGTGGGCCATCATGAGACAGCCACTATGGTGTCATCCTATATCCCTTCCAAGAGACCTGGATGCAAAGGCAAATTAACTTCATCCCCAAAAACCTAAAGTCATCACCAAATTCAGAAAGGCTGAAAAAGAACTGCATTTACCTTCCTAGAGGAACCCCAGGGTGGTTTCTGTGGTGATAGGTTTGACAAGGGAACCCACAAGAATCAGCTTTGAGGTGCTGGGTTGTGGCTCAGTGGTAGAGCGCTGGCCTAGCATGTGCGAGGCCTTGGGTTCAGCACCTCATAAAAATGAATAAATAAAATAAAGGTATTGTGTCCAACTACAACATATATATATATATATATATATATATATATATATATATATATATAAAATATATATATATATATATATATATATATATATATATTTTTTTTTTTTTTTTTTTTTTTAAGAATCAGCTTTGAACATCTGCCAAGATTACACAAGGCTGATTCTCTTTTACCAAGCCACAAACAGCCAGGTAAGTAACTTCTTACTTTCTTGCTCCAGTTACTCCCTGCTGCTAAAACTCAGGAAAGGTAGGCTGGTGGAAAAGGGGAAAAATGTAAGGAAGCCTTGGTGGAGAAAGAACTCTACCCTCTCCCCTTCCCCCAAAAGGTGGCATCTCACTGGCAGTAGGCCAGAAGTGAATGAGGGAAGAAGCCAACTGTAAATCAAGTTTGGAATTTTGACCAGATATATTAATTACTGAAATGATACTTTTTGTTACCTTAAGGAACTACACAGATTATTTAAAACCTAAGAGTGAGCAGAAAAGTCATGACCCTATCTTCTATCTGAACTGATATCTAAAGACAAGAGAAGAACTAGGCTCATTGAATAAATGAAAATGCACAAGCAGGAAAGAGAAACAAATTTGCTTCATAATTATATCTCAAAGTCATGCTTCTTCGCTATAACAAATAACCATTCCTCCAGGGTGGCTTTATCTTGCCTTCTAGAAAGATTCTGGTCAATAAATGCAATTTGTTAAAAAATTCTGGCTAAGCCATGTATCATTTAAAGATTAAAATTCTACCAAAATAAACAATAACAACAAAAAAACGCTCACAATGCTTCCAAAGTGAAATAAGTTTGATTTGGAAATTCCATGGTCTTCTGGGTAGGTATTGACATGGAAGTATTATTTCCTATAGTTAACTGGAATGACTAAGTACTCACATAAGTAGCTTTCAACAATAGCCCCAGCACTTACAATAGATAAGTAGCACTAAACTGAAAGGCAAATCCTTAATATTTTACCCCAATTCATCAATACATAGAATGGAAAAGAAGGCATATATTCTTATCATAGTAAGAATATAAGTGTTCCTCATACATCTGTAAGCTTTTGGTTGTTGCTGGGGATTGAACCCAGAGCCTGGCACATGCTACACAACTGAGTTACACCCATAGCCCCTATATAAAATTTAAGTTAAGGATTTTTCTTTTTTTTTTTTTTTGTGGTACCAGGGATTGAACCCAGGGGCACTTAACCACTAAGCCATATCCCCAGGTCTTTTTTATTTAGAGACAGGATCTTGCTGAGTTGCTTAGGGCCTAAGGTGCCGAGGCTGACTTTGAACTTTATCTCAGCCTCCCAAACGCTGGGATTCAGGCATGTGCCACTGCGCCCAGTCAAGGATTTTTTTTTTTTTTTTTTTTTTTTTTTGTAGGACTGGGGATTGAACCCAGGGCTCGCATATGGTGGGCAAACCCTATACTATTGAGCTCCACCTCCAGTCCACCCAATATAACATTTAATATAAATGTTTTACTTAGTAGAACAAGAACATGTTCAGTTCTAGAGAATAAGTTTGTAAGTTTAATATCATTCGGTAGTGTTTGGCATATGTAAACATTAGTTTTATAGCAGTAGGCAAATATAAGATTAAATATGTTATTTTTCCCCTAAATTGTAATCCCTAATAGGAACTAAGTATCACAACTCCTTCAAAAATAACTCCTTTCATAGTCCAGCATGAAAAATCTCAGAAGTGGAAAAGTTCAGCAGAGAAAGAATATACCTCATTTTAAAGTCATCATTTTTTATTAAAATTATCTTTCCATGTTGTATACAAACTGAACTTTTTAATTAAGTCCAAGCACACTTTCAGAATGATTATAGGGCTGAAAAAGCACAATGCACATGTAAATTGCTATGGATTAACAAAATCAAAAAAGATTTAAGAATTTATTTTCAGCACAAACAGATTTCTTTAAGTCAAACAAAATTCAGAGCATTACACCCTTACCAGAATTACCTTATTTGAAGCTTGCTTTTTTTTCCCCATTCACTTTTAAGCTAGATGAAGACCTTAACTATTATATTGTGGAATGTTCAGCATTTATCTTTGGTAACCAGACATATATGACCTGTACAATCACACTTGGATTTTAGTTTATTTAAATGAGTTGGTGATTTGGTGCACTTCAACCTTGAAAAGTGTTCTCAACATGAGATGAAGGAAGCCCCCTATGACAAATAGTAAAGATCAACAAATGCTACAAACAAAACCCAAAAAAGGAGATTTATGGGTGCTTTCCATTGATGACCATACAAAATAGAAAACTGGATGGATTTTACTAGCTAGATGCTCACAATTTCAAATGAAGAAATTACCATCCTCTTTAAAAGTAGGATTAGGGAAGAAAGTGATTTTAGAATGGTCTTCCAGTATCCCATTTTAAAAGTTTTTACTGAAAAGAAAATATGAAATAATTTAATGTATTCAATTTCTGTGAAACATAAATCTGTTAGAAACACAGAGCACATTTTAATTTCTAATTTTAAATCTCCATTTAGAACTTACAAGCTTTGAACTACAAGTACAGCTTTAATGCATCATAATGACTAATTATAGATGATAATAATACAGACAGTTTATATCCTAGGAGGCAACTGTAGGCGTCTTAATTGGAAATAAGCATTCTGAGTTAATGCTAATAGCAGTGTAGAAAAATGAACTTAAAAAAAAAATTTTCAGTGTTGAGAAGAAAATCCTCCTGGGACTTTGTTTTAATCATCTCCTCCACAGAGAATGAGCAGTACTTTCCTGTAGTCTCCGGATGTGTCACCCTGGGGGCCAAGGAAGCAAAGTTACAGTCAGATAAGTGGGTTTTTAAGTAGAATACACAGATCACGGTCATCTAAGTTAACTTCAAGCTTGGTTGGATTTTTCTCAGCTCTTAAAAGATTTTTTTTTCTTAATTACAAAAGTAATACCTGTTCAGTGTAGAGAATAAAGACATAGAAGAACAACATAAAAATCACCCACAGTTCTACCATCTATAGATTACTAATGTTAACATTTTGATGTGTGAATATGTTTCCTGTCTTTTTTTCTATGCATATAAGATACCTTTGTGATGGGATAGTAGTATTCTTTTGTATCCTTCATTGTGTGTGTGTGTGTGGGGGGATGGTATTGAGGACTGACTCCAGGGCCTCGTACATACACTGAACTACACCCCCTGACCCAATAAATTTGTGTTTGTCCTTCATAGACATAGAAACAAATATAATCTCTACCTATATAGTTCCAAATTTAAAAATATCAATTATTCTCTTCGATAATACTGTGAACCTGCTTTCTTTTTTGTATTTGTCAAATGTTCTTTTCCCTGGCCATGTTCCATAAACTTTTTTACATACCCCTGTATTTTAGCTATTCCTTATAAGCAACATGAAATTGGAGTTCATGTTTTTACTTAACCTGAGAGTTTATTTTTATTATTATAACTTACATTTTTATCTGTGGTCATTTTTTCTATTATTTACATATGCTACTCTGCTTCTTTTGACAAGCTGTTACCCAGTGGGCAATGTATCCTTTATTTTTCAGAATATTTAATTCACAGATCAAATCCTGATGTGAAGTTTGTTATGCAACCACAGCTTCCAGGAAAACGAGTCTCAGCTTTGTGTTTACGAGATTCTTCTGGCTTCCTCAAGAAGCAAAACCCACTAATGAGGGGTTTTGAGGGATGTGAATCATTTACTCATCACTCCCATGTCATCTTAGGACTCCTAGATGTCTGGTATCAGGTAAATAATAGCAATCTAGGAAAACTTATGTTTCCCCATATTACCAGCAGACTTCAGCTTACCCTGCACAGGATTCTGGATTCAGTTGCTTCTCTTATCATTTATTAGGAAGACATGGAAATCATGCTCTTAAAGGTATTCAATAAAATGTAAACTTCCTTTCTCTGGGGTCAATGTGAACTCATTACTGATTTACAAGGCAAAAATTACCAGCTTATAACCTGGCAAAGGTTTAAAGATGTGTGTGAAAGAAGAGAGTCTGGAAATATCTCAAGTGGAGGCCCATTTGTATGGGAAGTGACAGATGCCAAGAAAAAGGGGACCTGGAGTTCTAAATGCTGAGATCAGAGGCCCCATTCCTTCTATGGCACTTTCCCCTGGGCCAAGGCAAGGCTGCTGTGACCCACCTTGATAAAAGAGTACAGAGACTTTCCATAGAGCCTCTTGAAATTTGCCCGGATGTCCAGCATGTCAATCTCTGCTCGAGAAACCATCACTCTGATGAGGGTGTCATCATCAGTGCCCAAGCCCTAAGGAAGAAAACAGATCCCTCAGTAGGAAAGGCCAGCTGGTTTTCAGAGTGCTCTTCTGCTGTCTGGCAAGGCAAGGGATGGGTAACTTTCCTGTGGTGTCCTTTGCTTCACAGTCTTGAGGGCCTTCACCATGGGATTCAAGGACCTCCCAATTTACTTTTCCAATACTCTATATTCAAACCCAAAGTTACTCTTTGCCCTCTAGAGACATATGCTGTGCTGTCCTGACCCAGCCTGTCTGCTTTACCTTCCATGAGTCCTCTTTTCTCCCACGTAAACTTTCCTAAAGGTCCTGCTCAAATACACCACTTTATTTTTTTGGTGCTGGGAATGGAATGCAGGAGGACCTCGAGTCATATGCTGTACCACTGAGCTCTACCCTCAGTCCCCAATTTATTTATATTTTCTTTTTGTATCCTCCCCTCCCCCACAAAAACAAATATTGAAAAACAAACCCCACCCTTTCCTCCCTGTTCCTATAATATTTGGACCTTCGACTGCTGTCTTTCGTTCTGTGTTATTGATGTTTTTCACATACTTGCCTCCCTATAAGGCCAGATGTTCTTTGAGAGCAAGGGCTACATTTTGATCTCTCCTGCACCTCTCATGGACCCCAGCATGGGTGCATCCATGGGTTAAGAGCATGGGCCCTGGAGCTAGACTGGCAGAGTTTGCATCCTTGCTTCACTACTTCCTCACTGAGGACCTTGGGCAAATTGCATATTCTCTCTGTGCCTCAGTTTCCTCATCTGTAAAATGGGGGGGGTTGATAATAGTACCTTCCCCCTAAAGTTGTGGAAATAAAATTAATCCGTACATATAAAGAATTAAGAATACTGGGGCTGGGGTTGTGGCTCAGAGGTAAAATGCTCACCTAGCACATGTGGGGCCCTGTGTTCGATTCTCAGCACCACATAATAAAATAAAGGTATTGTGTCCAACTACAACTAAAAAAAAAAAAAAAAAAAAAGAATACTGATTTGAGGGCTGGGGTTGTAGCTCAGTGGTAGAGTGTTTGCCTCAAACATGTGAGGCCCAGGTTCGATCCTCAGCACCACATAAAAAAACAAATAAATAAAAATAAAGATATTGTGTCTATCTTCAACTAAAAAAATTTTTAAAAAAAGAATAGTGATTTTGAAATAAATAGAAGGAAGATCGGTAGAGAAAGAAGAATGAGGAGGGGAGAGGAAAAGAAGAGGCACCAGGGACTCAAATGGAGCAAATTAAATTTCATTCATGTAGGATTATGTCAAAATGAACACAACTATTATGTATAACTATAATGTACTAACATAAGCATAAAAAAAGAACAGTGATTGGGGGCTGGGAGTGTGGTAAAGCTCTTGCCTGCTACATACTACTAGAGCACAAAGCCCTGGGTTCATTCCCAGGACCTGAAGGTGGGGTGGGGGCTGGGGAATGACAGTGATCCACACATTTAAAATGGAGACAACCTCTGGAGATGTTATTTACTCAATAAATACCACTTGGTATTATTAGTAGCACCACTCAGTGAAGTATATACAAATTGAATTGAATATTTCAGGCTAAAATTTGGGGGAATATAAGTAAACCTAAGGTGACACAAGATGTGCCCAAATCATTGAGATGTTAAAAAATAAGGCCATTTACCTTCATAGATTTATAAAGCCTTTCAGCAAAATATGCAGATTTATTCCTCATGCATTTTACTGTCAAGAGAAAAACAAAAAGAAATGAAATGATTATATATATATATGACCTAAGAGAAAGAAACGGACACTAGTTCCCTCAGTTTCTACAAAGTATCAAGAAACAGCTCTTGATTACTTTGATGGAGAAATTTCTAGCCTAACGTTTCAAGAACACAGGCTACACTCTAGGCATTTCCTGGGATGGCAAACATTCTCAATTTACCATAAAGGTCCTAGAGAAGTAATTAGTAAAGGCCACAAAAGCAAAAGGTGGCATGTAGTTTCAAAAATGATTATGATCTTTACAATATGAGACAATTATTAGTTCCAGCCATTCACAGACATGCAAGATGCACCCAGTATAAAATTATCTTTCACATTATGAATTATAAAAGCTATCAAAGAAGATATCAAAAATATAAACCACATAAAACAATAGCAATCAGGTTGTATATAATATTCCGGTAAAATCTGGAACACCCCATGATTGATTTAAACAACTTTAATTTCTGAAAAATAAAATTCTATATCCCCAAGAAACTGGCAACAAGAGGAAAAGTCTATAGACATTTGTGTCTCCTCTCCCCACTCCCTACCAGCTTACCTATAGCCAGCAGAGCATCTTCAAAATGACCAGATGTCTCAGATTTAATACTCTCTTCAATATCCTTCTGTGATATCCTTTTGTATTCATCAAACACTACAAGCAACAACAAAATGACATTATCAACAATAAAAAAGAATAGAGGAAACTAAACCTTGTGGAGAGAATGAGCATCTTTTAATTAGTTTACACTATTTATTCTTTGGCATATTTCAAGGGGAAGCTAATTAACAATGTGGGTGAGAATTCAGTAGGGAGATGGCCCAGTGGAATGGCTGAAGGCAAGGAGGAAAGAGCACCATGATTCTTGGAGGACATCAGGCAAGTGCCTTTCCTTTTCTGGGACCCTGTTGCCTTACATTTAAAATGGAGACAACCTCTGGAGATGTTTGCTTTCTTTCCTCATTGCTTCCTTAATATGCAGAATGTGTCTCTTTGTAATTCTGACTTTGGCAATCACCTGTGTGTTCATCTTCCTTTTGGCTCATCAAAACTAGAGCACTTCAGCCTCTTCAAAACTGAGTCACAGTTGATAACAGCCGGTTGCATCTTTTAATAGATTTTAGCATAATTAAAAACTTTTTTTTCTTGCTTTTTTGCCAAGTATTTTTGAATGTGATAAACATGTCTTTCTCTCCTGCTGTCTTCTTCTGGAGCCTTCTTAGAGCAGATCTCTTAACATCACCTTCTTTGGCTTGCTGTCTTGCCCCTATGGATATGATTCTTATGGGCTGTCAGTGAAAGGACACCCATACCCAACAACATACACCATAACCTCAACCAAAACCAAACAAGGGAGCAGTTCATCTGGTCAGCTCCATCAGACTTGCCCTCCTGGGAATTTTTAAATTGAGCATATCAAGGGGATGGCCAAAAGCACTAAGTCATCTTACCCTGAAAGAACATAAGAATCACTTCTCAAATCTGTCAAATTTTTGAGTGTCACTCTCAGAGATTCCAACTCATACAATCTGAGTAGGGGTTCAAAAGTCATCATTTTTTAATGCATTGGCAAATCGTGCCTTAAAAATAAAAGCCATGACTAATTTCTAGGGAGGTTCCCAGAACTGCCTTCATTTCTGTTCTTCATCAAGTTGTTCAACTCTCCCTTCAATTTTGTGAGCCACCTGTATTATTTTCGATTTTCCTTCTGGCCCCAATCCATATTATTTAATTGGAGTCAGTATATGTTGCTTGGAATCAAATAATCTAATTGACACACTTTTTATGGGGTGGCAGTGAGGGCGGGTACTGGGGATTGAATTTAGGAATATTCAACCACTGAGCTACATCCCCAGGCCATGCGTGTGTGTGTGTGTGTGTGTGTGTGTGTGTTTTATTTAGAGAGGGTCTCACTGAGTTGTTTAGCGCCTCAGTTTTGCTGAGGCTAGTTTCGAATTCCAGATCCTTCTGCCTCAGCCTCCTGAGCCGCTGGGATTACAGGTATGCATGCCATTACTGTTGGTTGGTAAGAAATTTCTGATGCTTTCTTTATCCAAATAGTGCTTAAAGTATTTTCTCTAGGGGGCTGGGGATATAGCTCAATTGGTAGAGTGCTTGCCTAGCATGCACAAGATCCTGGGTTCAATCCCTAGTACCACCAAACAAACAAAAAAACAAAACCCAAGCATTTTTAGTGACTTACAAGCAGTTATTTTATAACTGTCCAACTATTGACTTGTGTGCCTGGAAGGGAAATTTTTTACAAATGCACTACATCAACTTTAGAGGAAACTGCAGTTTTGGAAAAATACCACCAGGGGGAGATTTGTGTTATTTGTAATCAGACCATGGAAGGCAATGAAATGAGTAGCTGAGCCACGAGTTGGTGCATCTCATGGTAGCCCATGATGTTTATTAAGAGAAGTAATTGCTTATTTTTTTTTTTGCCACTGAAGAATAGCTGTAATAATTACAACTTCAAAAAGTACAACTGTGTTATACTTTTCAATTACTCTGTTTTCAATTTAGCAAACTCATTCCTCTCAAACCCCACAAGTTTTGTAAATCTGTGTGTGTGATAAGGGTATGTGGGTTTGTAAAATTATGATGTACGTAAAGACTCAAAAAGTTTACATAAAAGATGAAATATCCTATTAAATCCTTATTTCTGTTTACAAGAAGGATATAAAACCCTGACAACAAATGCTCCACAGTTTTATAATCTTTCCCCTGCAGACATTAAAAGCTCATTATGAAGTTCAGAATTATCAGAAACAAATTAGAAACATCACACATAGGAAATAAAATTTGAAATTATCCACTCTTCATCTTATGCAACATAACCTCTAGAGAAATCACTTCTTTTAGGTACCCAGCATGGATGTTAAACAGGAATAAATATAAATGAACACTTCTATTTTATTTCTTCCTAATGTACAAAGATTATTTTCTTATATAACTCAATAAAAATGGAAGTCTTGGGGCTGCTTCAGAGAAAGGGATGGCTGTGATGATTGTTTTCCTAGAAACAGGAATGCCAAATTTCTATAAATACATTGCATATGTATTAGTTGTTCATAATTATTTTTTCAGAAATTAGCCCTCATTCATGTCATTGGACTCATAACATTTCCAAGGTAAGAACCTGAGATGGTTCAGTACACTTGTGTTTTTTTTGCATCAAACAAAGGGAAAAAGGTTATCAATTATTTATGGGCCAGTTTTCACCGTCTTTCAAAGAGTTTCTTTGGGAAGTGAGATAAGTGCCTACCATGCAACAGATGATTTCGATTCCGGGAACAGAGAACAGATAGAAATTTCACCTCATCTGTCCCCCATCTCTGCTCTCCAGCCTCATACAGGTCCTGAAGCCAAACAAAGCACAAATTTGAAACACCAAAGAAGACATTTCAGGACATGTGCAAATATTTCAAGAACTTCAAAGAGTTGATCTGGCTGTTTAATTTTGTTGGTTGGAGAGGGAACACACACACACACACACACACACACACACACACACTCCCCTCCCTTTCTCTCTGTTAATAGAGGGTTCCTGGCTTACAATGGTTTGCCTTACGATTTTCCAACTTTAAAATGGTGCAAAAGTGATACGTGTTCAGTAGAAACTATACTTTGAATTTTGATCCTCCCCTGGGCCATAAGCAGTATACTTTACTGCAGTTGAGCAGCTGCAGCAGTAACTCTCCCAGACAGCCACAAAATCATTAGTATAAACAACCAATACGCTATAGTGGAATGTGTTGCTAAGCTAGGGTGTTTGGTAGGTTTGGAGTATTGAATGCATTTTCAACTTAAAATTTATTTTCAACTTGCAATAGGTTCACTGGGACACAATCCCCTTGTGAATTAAGGAATATATGGATGTATGTAAACCTATAAATATGTGTATATTCACACACACACACACATGTACCTATGCACCTTATTGGTTCTGTTTCTTGGAAATCCCTAATACACGACTTCAATTAATAAAGTACAATGGAAGTGACACTGATTTCTGAGGCTGAAGTATAAATAATAACGAAGTTTCTACTGGTTCTATGGGAATGATTGCTTTTGGGGTGCCCCTTCTTGAAACCCAGCAGCCACACTTTGAGAAGCCCAAGCCACACACATACCCCCTTCTCTCTAATGAAAGCAACGGGTTCTCTTCTGCATAAACCACAGTGGTTCATACCACATTGGAGTAGAACCAATTTCTTACTATGGTTGTGTATTGGTTAAGAGTATAAGATCTGGGGCTGGGGATGTGGCTCAAGCAGTAACGCACTCGCCTGGCATGTGCGGGTGCTGGGTTTGATCCTCAGCACCACATAAAAATAAAATAAAGATGTTGTGCCCACCGAAAACTGAAAAAATAAATATTAAAAAATTCTCTCTCTCTCTCTCTCTCTCTCTCTCTCTCTCTCTCTCTCCCCCTCCCTCCCTCCCCTCTCTCTCTAAAAAAAAAAAAAAGAGTATAGGATCTTTTCTCTGCGCCTCAAATTCCTTGTCTGTAAAATGAGGATTGCAATGCTCAACTGCCAGGGCATTGCAAGGATTTGATGATATATTTAATGTTAAGTCCTACGGCAGTGTAAGGACCTGGGAAGAAGCCACTTTTATGAGCTATTATTTTTAGTGTTATCTGGTCTTGGTGGTTGGTACCAGGGAATCATCTGCCTTTTGGGGTTTGGTATTAATTTTATCCCTCAGGATATATGCTGTGCCAAACTGTTTTACACAAGTCCTACTGAATGTCCTCTTTGGGGAAATAGAAATACAAAGTAAATAGACAAAGGTGGGTCCTTCCAGCTTCAAGTGATTCAGAAGATACCCAGTGATTCTCTGGGCTTGACACACAATGACCCAGTGTCAAGAAGTCTAGGATCCAGGAGTTCAGGTATAATGAAGTCCAGTATCACCCCCAAGTCCCAAGTACTTCTGCACAAAACCTCTGTTATTAAAGGTCATCTGTGGCACTTTCTTTTTTTTTCATCATCTATCCTAGCCTGGCTAATATACTCTGAAACAGAAGAGGGTGTCCACCGACTCAGAATTGTCTTGCTGGCAGAGAAGAAAACTGGGAGAAGGAAGCTGCAGTTCTACCCACCTGGGCATCCTGTTTCATGAGAGCATCATCCAGGAAATTCCCCTCATCCCTGCCACCCTGAGGATGAGAAAAACAAACCAAAGAGAATGAGAGAGCATTCATGAAGATTCTGGAAAATGAAGATAGAAGGCTCAGGAACCCAAGGACACAGTAATGTAACTACAAGGCTGCAACTTCGGGACTAGGGAGGCAGGACAGATGTCCTCTGAATATGCCTGCGCTGCTACCGTGGCTCTGATCTGTGTGTAAAGAATGTTGCCAGCGTTATCAGGTACCCCATTGTGGCCCCCATGCTGCGCCAATGAGAGAATGACAGCTCCCTCTACTCTCCCCTCCCTCCCCTAGCTCCTCCCACTGCATCTGTCTTCCCAGCTGATTCGCTGCCTAACTTGTTCAATCTATTCCGATCAACTTTGGTGAAAAAGGGGTTGGAACAGAGGAGAGTCAAGAGAATCTGGAACCTGTGGTGGGATTGGAGGAGCACAGGAAACATCTCACACACTCACACCAACAACCCCAGCTCATGGGAGGCAGAGGGGAGGCCTCCAGGAATGCCAAAGAGCAACAGAATAGGCTGCTCTCTTCAAGTTTTTTAGACTATTTTTTAGTGCTGGGCTTCCTCAATATTCTGTGGTCTAAGTATGGTTCCTCAGGATGGCAAATATGGGAGGAAAGGAAAATATGGGAAGGACATAAGAGAAACAGGCAAATATTGTGGAAGTAAAATATCAGAGACAAGGGTGAAATGGAAGGTGGAGATGATCTCTAGGGTTCTGCTCAGGGTGTTGCATGAATAGAATGGGGCAAGTGAGTGAGGAGAAAGAGTTAGTTTGGAGAGAAAATTATTTTGGGTTTAGGTTTTTTGTTTTGTTTTTTGATATTGGGAATTGAACCCAGGGGCACTCAACCACTAAGCCACATTCCCAGCTCTTTTAATATATTTTATTTAGAGACGGGGTGTCACTAAGTTGCTTAGGGCCTTTTGCTCAGTTGCTGAGGCTGGCTTTGAACTGTGATCCTCCTATCTCAGCCTCCCAAGCCGCTGGGATTACAGGCATGCACCATCATGCCTGGCTTGGGTTTAGTTTAGGAGCAATTTGAAGTGATAGTCGAATACCCAAGAGGAAGCATCTAAAAAGCACTGGAAAACACAAGCCTCATCCTCAGGAAGGAGGGCAGGGACAAAGCTGGGGGTCATGTGAGGTATCTAGAGCTTTGTCTTCTCTTGTTGGCCGCCCTGCTCCCACCCTAGCCCAGTCCTGCTTTAGGTCTCATCCGGAACACATATGTAACTTTCCATCTGGTCTCCCAGCCTCAAGTTCTTTGCCCCTGTTGATCCCACACGCTACGATGACATTCCTCTTTTAGAAAACACAATTCTAATCACATCCCTCTCCCATCACCATCAGCATCACATCAGCTGCTTTTCCCAAACCTACTCCCTACTACTCTCCAGACAAAGGAAAACACTCCTCCCAGTGTAGGACTCACAGCCCATCCTTCCAGCTCCCTTCTAGAACCGCCAGCCTGACTATTCAGCCAATCACCCCCTAAACACACAGTATTTCCTGTCTCCTTGACTTGTTTTTGTTGTTCTTGCTGTTCTTCCTTCCTGGAATGCACCCACCCACGACTCTTGGAAGTCCCTGATCCTATAAATCTTTGAACCAGCATCCCTGCTGTGAAGGCTTTTCTCTGTTTCTGCATCCAGAATGTCTCCTTGAGTCTTCCTCTTGCTATGTGCCTCTTCTTTGGTATTTAATTTTTTTCTTGCCTTATAACAACTTGTGTACCTGACATATCCCTTTATGATAACATAAATATAAATACAGTAGAACAAAAGGGCACACAGGACTAGCCAGGGTCTCTGGAAGAGAAATAACAAAGAGGCCTGAGAATAAAGCCTGGCAAAGGGAAAGGAGAGTGAACATGTCAATGAAACCTGTCCCCCATCAGAAGTCAAAGACAGAGGTGGAGACTTACAGCTGACAGAGACACCAGCACTCGCTGGAACATGAAGGATGTGTCCGAGCAAATGTCATCTTCAAGGCTCCGTCCATATTCTAGCAAGAGAGTAGGATTAGCTACATAAGAATAAAGTGTCCTGTCCCACCTTGTGTCACCTTCCGGGGAGGTCTGTCCCTCCAAGAATAGCTTATTTACCAAGCAGCTCATGTCAAGGTTTCTCCCCTGTACACAGGTTTTTAAAAGCTAAACTCTAGTAAAAACGATCAAGATAGAGTTATTATAGTAGAAAGGAGATATCTGTGTTCCTTAAAAGAGGGGAGTTGAGGAGGGGGCCAAAACCCTTCTCTGGTTCCTAGTGTCCAGGGCTCTGTTTGGAAAGTGGTTGACTGGCTGCTGCGAATGGCCTCCACATCACAGAGGGAAGCATCCAGAGCAGCCTTTTGGGGACAGGTTCTGGGAGGTCTCCCCCAGGGGCTCCAACCCTCCGCAGGGCAGAGCGGGGATCAGGGTGCTAATTCCAAACTCCCAAGGTTTAGAATTTCCACAAGCTCTTACTGTGCTGTTTTCTTTCTACAAAAGTTATACATGTTGATTGGAGAGAATTTAGGGGAAAAAAAATAAAATAAAACAGACGGGAGGAAACTACCATAATCTAATCACCCAGAAATCATAATCACTGATCACATTTTTGATTAAAATATTTTATAATTTTCCTCCTACATACACGCATTATTTTCTTTTCTTAAAAATGGTATCATAGCATATTATTTTTTGACTTGTCTTTTTTCACTTACCTGTATACCACATCACTTAATATGATCTAATAATTTTGCAATATAAGATTTATTGATATGCTATCCGTTGTGTAAGTGTACCCTATATTGTTTAGCCAATCTACTACAACTGGTGCAATCTACAACAACTGGACATGTTTAGCTAATATAAAAAATACTGAATAGGGACTGGGGTTGTGGCTCAGCAGTAGAACACTTGCCTAGCACACGCGAGGCACTGGGTTCAATCCTCAGCACCACATAAAAATAAGTAAATAAAATAAAGGTATTGTGTCCAACCACAACTAAAAAAAAATATTTAAAAAAAATACTGAATAAACAGAATCTAATCCTTTGTGAATTTTTTTTTCTATTTTTAGGGCCAACTGGCATTACAATTTTTAGTGTAAATTTATTTATTTAGAGTAAAAAAATAAGAAAATGCTCAGGCACTTTGTTTTTACATGTTGTTGAGGTAAAATATGTATGTAGTGATACGTAAAAATTTTAAGTGCACAGTTCCATGAATCTTGGCAAATGCATGTCACCAACGTAAACATAAATCTATCAAGAGGGAGGCAAGTACTTTTTTAAAGAATTTTCCTACACATTGTCTTCTGGAAGTTTCTAAGAGGGGAATAAGTGGCCAGTATTCCGAGATGGATAGAGGAAATATAGTCCAGGCTGGAGGTCAGAAATTGGGCCAGTGAGTGCCTCTAGGCCATTGCTTAAAATGCTAGGAATCACTGGTATCAGCATTTTTTTTTTTGAACTAGTGATTGAACCCAGAGGCACTTTACCACTGAGTCTTGTCCCCAGCTCTTTTTATTTTTTGAGTCAGAGTCTCACTAAGTTGCTTAGGACCTCACTAATTTGCTGAGGTTGGCCATAAATTGGCGTTCCTCCTGCCTCAGCCTCCTGAGTCACTGGGATTATAATCTACTACCACACGCCTAACTGGTGCCAGCATTTTGAACAACCACCTTTGGTTCTTTGCTTGGTTATAAAGAACAACTTTCCAACGTTTAGGGTAAAAAAAAACACTGCACTGGGGTAGCCTAAGCAGAGTGGCGTCCTTCCCTAAAATGTCTTAATGATGCCAATAGCTAGTCATTTGCGTAGACAGGGGTCTGCTTCAAAAGAGAGTTTGGATTCCTCATGATCAGTGTGTCCAAGAGAGGAGTGTAACCACTGGATAACCACTTGCTGCTAATCTCTTTCTTAAATCAGGGCAAAACATCAGCCAGGGCCATTGAGGATGTTACATACGCTGCTGGTAAACCTGGTTGATGCGACGGATCTCCTCTGGGGTCCGGGAGGCCAGGATCTCAATCAGGCATCCTTCATCTGTGCCGGCTCCCTAAATATGAAAACCAGAGGAGAGGGAAGTATGAGCCAGTTTACAAGGCTGAAGTATAATTTTTTAATATTTTTATATTTATATTTTTATGTATCAGTTAAAACACCCCTGGGTTATATCTCCAATATATATTTTTTAAAAAGAAGGGAATTATTTGATCCTTCCTGTGACCCAGTATGAGTGATTTTAACTGCATGTCTATCTGCAAAATAAAAATTAAAAATTGTGTCCCAAACACAGAAGGAATACAGCTATGAACCTGCAGAGGATAAATACAAACCCGTGGGTTCTAGCAACAGGATTTGTTATCTTTTAAATACCCCAAACCCAATGTTTTTACCAGATCATTATCAGTAATAACAAATATTTATAGAATGTTTACCATATGTTGGTTACTGTGTCAGGATAGATACTATTTCTGCCCTCTGCGGGCTTAATCTTTCCTTTACCTCTTTTATTTTCTTCCCTGAAGGCAGAATCTTCTGGCAAAGACTTTGTTACCTTTTTTGCTTTCCCAGAGCCTCACCCTGAGCCTTCCACAAGGCCAAGTGTTTATTGAGATGGCTGCAGAGGGTCAAGTGTATTTTCATACTTGAGTCGTTGAAAATCTGTAGTCCTGGGCTAGGCTGCAGTAGATTGACTGGTCTTGTAAGGAGGCCAAGAATTCTTTTGTCAGTTCTAAGCAGAGAACTGTCACAAAGTTCCATGCCTCAAAAGTACCTAGCACAACAATAAAGTTTCTAGAACTGCACCCAAAGCATAAATATCTGTTGGGGGTGGAACACAGCCTTCTGGTACAAGTACATGCTTAGCCTCCACGAGGCCCTGGGCTAAATCCCACCACTGCAGATAAACAGGCAGTTAAAATCACTCCTACTAGGTCACAGGAAGGATCAAATGATCCCCCCCACTTTTTTTTTTTGTATTGGAGATATAACCTAGGAATGTTTTACCATTGAGCCACATCCCTTCTTATTTATGTATGCATATACATATATGTACATATACATATATATTTATATAGTTTTTTTTGTTTTTTTTTTTTTAAGACAGGCACAAAGTTACTTAGGGCCTTGCTAAGTTGTTGAAGCTGGCCTCAAACTTGTGCTTCTCCTGCCTCCACCTCCCAAGTTGCTGGGATTACAGGTGTGTGCCTCCATGACCGGCTGATTGTCTAACATTTTAGAAAAACAATTTTAAAATTAAAATTGCTGAAACATTTTTAAGTTGTCATAATGAGGGAAGACCTTTCTCCTATACTTTATCCTCCCACTCTCAGAAGGGCTCGGCCGCAGTTTCTTGAGATACCGGTCCGTGTTGGTACCAACAGCTCTGAGGGCACAAGGGGAGAAGCACGAACCTTCATGGCCTTTTGCAGCTCCTGCACATCGTACAGCACGGTGGGTGTCATCATGCCAATGATGACCTGCTCAAACTTGCCGCTCAGTTCTGACTTCAAGTCATCCATCAGGTCCTGCAGTGAGAGAAAGCAGCCCTGCTTAGCTGCAGCAGTAAAAAAACATCAGCCATTCTCCAAGGGTGGACCCAGATGTTTGGGGTCTCCAACATCCTTCCAGGAGGCAAGCAAGGTCAAAACCATCTTCACAATCACACTAAGATGTTATTTGCCTTTTAATTGTCATTCTCTCAAGAGTGTACAATGGAGTTTTCTTAAGATTACTATCTAGGGGCAGGGGATATAGCTCATTTGATAGAGTGCTCACCTCGCATGCACAAGGCCCGGGGTTCGATCCCCAGCACCACAAAAAAGGAAAAAGATTACAAATCTATAAATCTACAGTTATGTCAAAGGCTATTCAAGTACTCCCCACTGCCTAGAACTGCCTGTCTACACAAGCAGATTTTTCTTCATATACCTCAAGCAGATATGAGAATCCAGGCCTCTCATGGAGCTGGACATTAAGGAGATTTGCAAAATGTTAAATAATGCCAATCTTCTCACTACATTTCTTGAATAGTTATTTCTCATAAAAATGTTAGAGTAGTAAGTAATATATTCACTATTTTCAATAAGTTAGCTGTATATCTTAAAATGTCATTTTTTAAAAATTTCTGACATGGCCAATAGATATAACTCACACAAATTTATAAAGGACTCAATAATTGAAGGGTATGAGGAGGCTCTGAGATGGAAATATTCTCAGACACTAACCGAAATGCATTGTTTACTTAATGATAAATCAGGAATATATTTCCAAGTCAGTATTTGCCTATGGCATTTTTAACAGCTGCAGAGGTTCCTACACATGCACTACGTTCCAAGTTTATATTTTTCCACTGTTATATACGGAAGATACTGAGTTGTATCTTTGTGATCATCTGTGATTATTAGGGCTTGCTTTCTAAAAAGAAGTGTAATTATTTGGACAGAGAACCAAATTCTAAAGACATTAAAATCATTTCCTTCTAGAACAGGTCAGGGAGTTTAAGAACCTGCTTCAGATCAACTGACAATGAAAACTGAGTTGCTATTCAAATCCAGCTATCTGATTCTCACAAACCCAGTCCCACTATATTTTATGCCAGTCTCTTGGGGGTATTTTTACCCTACATCCAAACACACTGAATAAATGAATAAATAAATTAGTGCTTGGTTGATCTGTTAATGTTGGCCATCTTAACAAATTTACCGTCAGGTTGGCTGTCACCCCTGAATGTGTGTGGCAACACCACTTTGGTCTCAAGTTCACTTGTCGTGTGCACATTCATGCCTATTAGTGCTCATTCAATTTCTTTGGAAAAGGAGAAGAGCTTAAAATGTCCAGAATATAGAGCCACTCTGATCATGGATGCCCCATTCCTACAGGGATACCCAGAGTTTGCAAGCAGATGCTGTGGGGAGCAGCTGGGCCAGCACAGCCCTACCCAACAGGGAGGTGCCTTTCTTTGAGAAGGAGCCTCAGTTTGCCTGGCTGTGAAATCTCTCAAGGACAGGCAAACTTGCCATAGAGTCTCTCTACTCTGAGGTCTGGAGACACTCATTGATGTGGTTTCCTCAATAACCATACTCATGGGTGTTCCAAAGTGATGGCGAGACTTGATGGAAAAGATTCTGGTGAATGAGTCAATGAAAACAAAGACTAGAGAGTTCCTGAGAGATGTGGGATTCAAATCAAAAGGAGAAAATGTGGGGAGTGAACACTCTCCCAATCCATCAGCTACAACACATACATACATTTACATATGTGAACACACATACATCCCTGTTTTAGAACTTAAGAGGGTGTCCCTCAACTGAGTCTCATTGAAGGAATGAACATATTCTGCAAATAGATTTAGGTGGAAGAGTCAGGATACTACATCCTAGAAGAGACTATTTAAAACACCCCAGTTTGAATATTTTAGTCGGTTTGGCAAGTCTTCATCTGCAGGGTCAAGAAACCATCTCTGGAAGCTCAGCCTTGCCTAATGCTCTGAAGGGCAGTGATTGAGGCCATAGACCCAGGCCCTGTGTCGAGGACTTTGTTTAAAAGGATCAAGATTGGCCTTGAGGTCTGACTCAACCCTAAAGTCACTTCTTGATGAGCATGGTAGAGAATACCAAGAATATCTTTTTGTTTTGTTTTGTTTTGGTATTTTATTTTCCAGTCATTTATTGAGCAAATGATATGATAAATGTCTATATTTTATTTTTTAAATTTATTTATTTTAATTAGGTATATATAATAGCAGAATGCATTTTGATTCATTGTACACAATTGCAGCACAGCTTTTCATTTCTCTGGTTGTACACGATATAGTACCACACCCCATATACCTAGGGTAATGATGTCTATGTCATCACCATCTTACCAAGAATATCTTTTAAAAAAATTTTTTTGAAAACACTTTTTTTTTCCAGTGCTAGAAATTAAACCCAGGAGTGCTCTACCACTGAGCTACATCCTCAACTCCTTTTATTTTTTACTTCAAGACAGTCTCACTAAGTTACCAAGGCAATCCTCCAATTTGCCATCCTCCTGTCTCAGCCTCCTGAGTAGATGAGATTGCAGACATAAGCACCCAGGCAATATTAAGTGTTTTTAATTGATGTTTAGTAATTATGAATATATATGGGGTACAGTGTGACATTTCAATTCATGTAGATAATGTGTAATGACCAAATCAGTATAACTGGCCTATCTATCACCTCGGATATTTATTATTTCTTTGTGTTTGGAACATTCAAAATATTCTTGACTAGTTATTTTGAAATATTCAATTAATTAATAACCATAGTCATCCTTCTGTGCTACAGAACGTTAAAATTTATCCCTCCTCTCCAGCTCTTTCCAGGTACCCATCCTGCCTTCATCTCTGCCTTCATCACAGACTTCCCAGACTCCAGTAACCACTGTCTTCAAGAACATCTTTTTTTTTTTTTTTCAGTACCAGGGATTACACCCAGGGGCACTTAACCACTGAGCCACATCCCCAGCCATTTTTAATATTTTATTTAGAGACAGGATCTCGCTAAGTTGCTGAGGCTGGCTTTGAACTGGCGATCCTCCTGCCTCAGCCTCCCAAGCCGCTGGGAATACAGGCCTGTGCCACTGCGCCCAGCACAAGAACATCTTTAAACAAGATGAAGGATCCATCTTTTAAAACAAAGGGTCCTTCAGACATGTGCCTCTGGGAGAGGTCCTGCTTCCCTGCTGCCTGACAAGTCCCCTGTCACAGGAATAGAGCAGAGAGGCTGCACCTACCCTGCCAATGTTGCTCTTGTAGGCTGTTCTGATTTCCTGGCGCTGGGCCGTGTTGCGGTAGGCGAGGACTCCAATGATGGCGTCTTCATCGGTGCCTGGGGATAAGATGGTGACAATTAGTGACTGATTTGAGAATGAAATTGGAAAATGGGTTCCTCTGCAGACACTGGAGTTACCCCAACAGTAGTAAGACAGCTTACTCGGAAAAAAAGTCCTTGTTCTGAGCGTTTGTCTATTTTATTGGAATACAGATGGAAGTTTAAGTCTTAGCTTCTTTAATTAGCAGAATAGTTAACCTCTCTAAGCATTAGTTTCCTTATCTATAAATGTGAATGATTACAGGACTTCCCTCACCGAGTTACTGCAAAGGCTAAAGCGAAGAACTTAGCACAAAGCCCAGCACCTACTCAATATCCAATAAACATCAACTAGGAAAATTCTTCTCTGGGATTCTCTTCTTGTCTTTCAGATCTGCTGTCTTCTAGGGTTTTGCCTCTTCTGTTTTTCCTATGCCTTTTGAAGAAATTCAAACTTGTATTTAATTTCTCAGATGGAGTGTTTCTCAGAGTTTAAACTGGCTGACACGGTATTCAATGTGATTTAAAACAGTGATTGTGTTTGTCATTTCATTCGAGCTATCTTTCTCCATCTTCAATGGTTCCCTTTTTAAAACTAAAGACAAGTTCCCATGATACAATATCTTAACCAACCTTAACATTAGAAATGTTCCAAGTTTTGCTTTTTATAAGGGGACTTTATGCTAATTTTCAAACTGGCCCCTCATCTTTTTAACAGCTGAACATTTAGTAACTTTTCTGCTTCCTCATTGTTTATGCCTTATGGAAAGTTGTGATGGTATTTATAAAAGTGTTTCTATTGATCTATTTTGGAATGAAATGAAAAACATATAGGTTTACCATAGTTATTCTTTGCAAGATTAGAGATCTGGAAAAATGTGAGGTATGGGGAGTAAAGCTAGAGAAATTTAAGTTCACATAAGATAGGGGCCTACTTTCTGTTGGTGTTAAAAAAAGAGAAAAAAAAAAAGACACAACCATCTTTTTCTCTTTCAGAACTCTCAGCTAGGAAGAAGTTTCCTTACCTTTTTCTCATCTCCTATTTCTGTGAAAGACACCACCCTTCCTCCAGTTGGCCAAGTTTGTATTCTCAAAATAGCTTTGATTTTTTTTTTTTAATCCACCTCCATATTTAAATTTCCTGCCAAGTCATGCAAAAAAAATACAACCTTTTTTTTTGCATCCATGATCTCTTTTTGACTCTTAGCACTACCACTCCAATTAAGGGCTTCAGGATTTCTTCCTAGACAACTGTAAAATGCTAACCAATATTTTTACCTTCTAATTAGTCTTATCAGAGTCGTGCCAGATTCTTTTTACTAAAAGGAAAAGCTCACCATGTTCCTCACCTGCTTGGAAATACACAATGGCTCCCCCTGGTGGCTGGATTTCCCATAGGGTTGTGGCTGGCCTTGGAGGCTCTCCTCAATCTTTCATTCATTCTCCTTTCCCAAAGGAAAGGACACCAGGCACAGCTGCATTCACAGATTTAGCTCTTGGATTATTGTACTCCACCTACTCATACCGCACCCTATTCTCCCAGCTTCCTGTCAGTTTAGATGTCTCCCTCGCCCTTTGCACTTAGGGTCATGACTCTGGAATTGGTTGTTACCTGCCATGTCTGTGGCTTTCTTTCTTTTTCTTTTCTTTTTTGGTATTTATTTTTTTATTGTTTTTTTTTTTTTGAAGTGACTTTTTAACTTTTTCTTTTTAAATATACATGACAGTAGAGTGTATTTGGATAAAGAAAATGTAAAAGAAAGATATGTACAATGGAATATTACTCAGCCATAAAGAAGGATAAAATGATGGCATTTGCAGGTAAGTGGATAGAGCTGGAAAATATCACGCTAAGCAAAATAAGGTAATCCCCCAAAACAAAAGGTGGAATGTTCTCTCTGGTATGTGGATGCTAATGTACAGGTGGCTCTTTCTAAGTAGCATCCCCACATAGATCTTTTTGTGCCTAGCTCAGTGATGTCCATGCACTAATTGACCATCATGACTAGGTGTTATAATCCTTCCTCCTTCAACAGTCCAAGCTCTCATTGGCACACACAAGGCAACCACTGAAAAGGGTTGATTTTGCCAAATGTCTCCACTCTTGTTTTGAGAATCCCAAGTGCTATATAATATTTTCTCTAAATTATATTCATGTTATACACCAAATAATTAAGATGAACCTGAAAACAATAGGTGAGTCCAGTATGTTTTCTATTTCACTTGGAGGAAGAAGAGAAAAAAGAGCAAGAAGAGGAAAAAAAAAGAAAGAAAAAAGAAACTGAGAAGAACACATAGACTCAGAGCAATGTTCTGCTCAGAGGGGGTCAGCAGGAGAGCACAGGGGCCTAGACTCCAGCTATGAAGTCAGATGGCCTGAGATTGCCTACCTGGAATTTCCTGGAATCCTGACTATATCACATATTAGTTCTGAGACCTTGGGAAAGTCAGCTAATCTCCCTACACCTCAGCCTCTCTCTCATAAGTGAAGTGAACTGCTCTCAGGGTTAAAAGGAAATAATCCACATAAAACATCTATGTTTATGCCCCACTCATGGTACAGCCTAATTTGCTGTTCTTGTTAATGCTGCTGTTAATATTAGTAGCATCAAAGTTAAGTCAAATAAACTCTTTTTTGGATAGAAAGATTGAGAAATTAGATACCATGGTTGAGGGATTTCACCCAAATCTCAAAGAGATTCTAAATAATAGCTAAGAACCAAGGGACACTTCTCTGACCCAAAGTGTGCCCTGACAAGGTCTTAGCAGCAGGAACTAGGCCAGGGTAGCTACAGTGCTCTCCACCTGACTCTGCTCATTCAGGGCAAGGCCTGTGGCTCTGGGGGTGGTGGAGATAAATGAAGGACGGTGTCATGGAAGACACGACCAGCCTTCTTACCTAAAATTCCTTGTATTCATGCTGGTGGTGCTGTGGCTATGCCATTCACCCCAGTTCCAAGCAGAGGAACTCAAGGGACTTAGAATTGGCAGGCCTGAGCTGGAGGCTGGGAACCACCTCTAGCAAGCCAGCCAAAGCTCAGTTGCACCTATTATGTGACTTGGTAAGAGTTATTAGGCTTCTCTGGGTCTGTTTTCTATCTGTAAAATCGGGCTAAAATGACAATAGCCATTTGCACTAAGTCACAGGTTTGTTGTATCTATCCAATGGGATAACGTTTGTGGCAGTGCTTGGTAAAGCTATGGCACTATACACAGACCAGCACTTATTGGAAAACAAATACATAAAGTTTTATACAGAGGTTTATGGTATAATTCAAACAGCAGCTTTAAGCAACTGGAGAAATCCATTATGAGTGCATTAAATTTAAAATTCTGTATTAAGTGGATAATTTTTTAATGCCCTACCATCCGATTTGTCTTACAAAGCCAACTTGTTCCCGTGGTCTTTCTTTCTTTTTTACTTCTGTGGTTCTGGGAATGGAACTTAGGGCCTTGCACATGTTAGGCAAGTGCTCTACCACTGAGCTACATCCCAGGCCTCACTGTGTTTTCCTAAGGGGAAACCTATTCCCAGTTGCCAGTGCAAATGGCATCCTCCCATGTGATTCTCCTATAAACACACAAGGGAGGATTCACCTCCTGCAGGACACTTACCCAGCCCTTTCATGGCCTTCCGCAGGGTCTGGGCATCCTCAACAGCATTGAATCCTGATGCAGCTTTGATGGTACCTCCTTTGGTTGCCTGAGAACAGAGAGAGTGAGGTGACTGAGAAGCAGCATCTCACCAACACAGAGGCAGCTCATTCAGCATATAGTTGCTGAGTAACTACGGTGGCTCAGACCGTACGTTGAGGATACAGCAGTGACTGTGAATGAGGCTCTTGCCCTTGTGGAGTTGATGTTCTGGTTCAAGGGGAGGCAGAGTATAAACAAGCCAACAAATAAATATTCTATGAAGTGCCTGGTGGTGGGCTGGGGAATGTAGTTAGTGGAGTACTTGCTAGCATGCATGAGGCTCTGGGTTCAATCCCCAGCACCTACACAAAATGCCTGGTGGTGAGAAGTGCTACAAAGCAGATAGAGAGGGCCTGGATGGGCTGTTCAAATGAGTGACACTTAGGCTGAGAGCTGAATGACATGAAGCAGCTGACCATGCAAAGAAGGAGGGAAAGTGTTACAGGCAGAGGAAACAGTTACTGCAAAGGTTCTGAGGCTGCAAGTAGCTTCTAGAAAGAACCAGAGGTCACTGTGGCTGAGTTGGTGGGATGGAGGTGAGTGGTACAAGAAGTTATACCATTAACTACAAAGTAGTCTCATACCTTCAAAAAAGGAAAGAAAAATCAAATCTGAATCCAATCAAGCCTCCAGAGCAAAAAAAAAAAAAAAAAAAAATATATATATATATATATATATATATATATCTCAAATAGAAGAGGAAAATGTTAAAACATACCAAAAGATTGCAATCAGCAAAATCCAGACTAAGAAACACTATTTAACAAATGATTTAAGGGATGTGCATATATCTCAGAGGTAGAGTACTTTCCTAGCATGTGCAAGGCCCTGGCTTGGATTCCCAGTACAGGAAAAAAAAAAAAAAAGACTTAGTTGCTTCAATAAATTGCAAAGGGTATTAAAAGAGAGAGAGAGAGAGAGACAGATGGAGGGGGACTGTAGTTTAAGAGATTAAAAAGACATATCAGTAATCATGATTGTGTAAACCTTATTTGAATCCTGAATCAAACAATAAGAAAGAAAAAAATAGAGGTTTATGAGACAATTGGATACTTGAACAGAGTTGATATTTAACGACATTAAGGCATCTTGAGATTTTTAGATATGATAATGGCACTATGGTTATATTTTAATTGTTAAGACGTTTACTCTGATAGAATTGAAATAACTTCCAGATGAAATGATATTAGAAATACATTATCAAAGAACACAGATAGGAGGAAGTAAGTAAAGAAGAAATAATATTGACGATGAGTTAATAATTATCGATAGGTGTGCCAAAGTGTCCTTATAATAACTTGTTTACTTTTGCATATGTTCAAACTTTTCCATAATAAAAATTAAAGATAGAAAAAAGCAAAGAAAATTAGAGACACAGGTTGGGGTCTGGGCAAGGCAGCCCTTCTGAGCTGGATAAGAAGTTTCCATTTTATTCTAAGGGAAGGAGGAAGCCACCACCAGGTTTTAAGGAAGGAGATGGGGCCATGGGAATCTGATCTGCACATTAAAAAGATCACTCGGGCTGCTGTAGGGAGATGCAGAGACCAGTTGAGAGTCTGGGCCAAGATTAGGAGTGGGAAGTGTTGCTAGACTAGAATGAAATAGCTCAGATGGAAATAAACAGGCAGATTCAGCACATGTTTTGGAGCAAAGGCGACAGAACTTGCTGACGGGCTGATGTGGGAGGTGAAGAAAGAAAAGAATTAAGTATAACTCTCCATCATTTTCTTTGAGCATCTGGGTGAAGAGTGCTATCACTCACCCTCAGATGGGGAAAACTGGAGGAGGACTATCAGATTTGGGGTGGTAGTGGGGGGGTGGGTGGGATTTGAAAGTTCTATTTTCAACATGTGAAGTTTGGGATGTCCATTAGGCATCCAAGTGGAGTTGTCAAAAGGACAGTTGGTTATACAAGTCCTGAAAGGCAAGTCTAAAGTAATATACTTAGGTTGCCTCAGCAAGTGGACAGTATATGATGAGATGACCCAGGGAGAAAGCAGAGGATAAGGACAAGACCTAGGACACTACAGGTCCAGCAGAGGGAAACCCATCAAGAATGACTGAGAAGGAGCAGCCCTGGAGATAAAAGGAAACCCAGGAGAGTACATTGTCCAGAGGCTAAAGATAGAGGGAGTGGTCAGCCCCTGCTGCAGTGAGAAGCCCAGTGGAAAGAAGCACAGGCACTGGTGTGGGATAGACCTGGGCCTGAATCGTGTCACCAATCCTTTCTCTCTGTGTGGCCTTCATTTTTCTCACCTGTATATTGGGAATATATCAACTCACAGGGCATATCAACTTACAGGGTTGTTATAATAATGCAATAGGATAATTAAGGAAAGCACTTAGCTAGCACAGAACCCTCCCCCCCAAAAAAGCAAATACTAAAACAAAAAGAAATTAGATGGCTATCATCACTGCCATCATTATCATCATCATCATCATCATCATCACTTAAGATGGTTCTAACCACATTGCCATAATAAATATAATAATGAAGTTCTTTTGTCTTTTTCTTATAGTATTCCTCAATGCCAAAGCAGAAACAAGGGGGAGCATTGTTACAAAGTGGTAAAACAGTGTAGAACAGAGCTAAAGCTTTCTAATAATTTAATTTGATCTAAGGACATGCTACAAGTTTAAAGGAATGCAAGATTTTCATATCCTTGGAGTAGTTCTCCAGGAAATCAAATTTGAATTGTATATGCTAGACTGTCTTGGCCTGGACTGCTCTGGCCGATTGTGGGCACATTGAGCCCATCCAAGGCCTCAGGTACCACAGGGCATGGGCCTCTGTTGAAACACCAGGCTTTCGTGTCCTGGATATGGTCAATGTCCAAAACTCACTCATTACCCGCTATACAACTGACCAGAGGAAAGTAGAGGTCCATGACACCAGCCTCCTCGGGCACTGTGGTCAGTTCAATTGTATCCCTGAGAAGACATGTTGGGGTCCTAACCCCCAGTACTCCAGACTGTGATTTTATTTGGAAATAGGTTGTTGCAACATAGTTAAGATGCCATCCTATAAGAAGACAGCCACATGGAGACAGATACAGTGTGACTGCAGTATAATGGCAAAGGCACAGACTGGAGTTCCACAGCTGACAGTCAGGGAACACCTAAGACCACCAGGAAACCACCATAAGCTCAGAAGAGGTGAGGAAGGTCTTCCGTATAGGTCTCAGAGAGAGCAGGGGCCAGGCTGACACCTTGATTTTGGAGTTGTGGTTTCCAACACTGTGAGGCAATAAATTTCTATGATTTTAAGCCACCCATTTTGTGGATACTTTGTTACAACAGCTCTCTGAACCTAATACAGGCACCTTACTTCTTTTCCCTCTACTGTATATCCTTAATAATAAGCAAATTGATGATTTGCTATCAAAATTCCTATGGCCTAACTTAGTCTTTGCCCCTCCATGAGATTGTGTGTGGGTGAATGTGTGTCTATGGTGCTGGGGATTGAACCCAGGGCCTCTCACATGCTAGGCAAAAGCTCTATCACTGAGCTATATCTCCAGCCCTGAAGCAGCTTTCTGAGTAACATTTCACAATGTTCTTTTTCAGCTCCAGTATTGAAAAATTTTTAGGTGGTACTCAGACATTGTATTCAAGTGTAAAGCAAACTGCATTGCTGAGGGACTATTATGGGATTAAAATTAATATCTAACAAGATAAATTGATAGAGGGACTTACAAGGGTGGTTTAGTTTATCTATTTGCATTCTAAGTGATTCTTACCCCCCCGCCCAGGAATAAGGCAAAAAAATTTATTCTTTGTTAGTCCTTTAAGTACCTGTATTAATTAAATTCTAGGGCACAATGTACCATTAACCTTCAGGCAAGATGGGGTTTTCATCCATCCCAGGAAGGCTTATTGTAATAGTAGGCAAAGGAAACCGAGAGCATGTAGAAAAGAATGATGGAAGTGAATAGCTAGAAATAGGTGCTATGCCAGCCAGGAGCAGCGGTGCACACCTGCAATCCCAGCTTCTTGAGAGGCTAAGGCAGGAGGATTGCAAGTTCAAGGTCAGCCTCAGCAACTTAGTGAGATCTTGTTTCAAAAAAATAAAAAAGGCTGGGGATGGAGCTCAATGGTAGATTACCCTTGGATTCAATCCCCAGTACTAGGGTTGGGGGACTGGCAAGAAGAAATAGGTGCTATACCATAATCAATGAAGTATTATTGTTATTATATTAATAAGAAAAACAATAAACATCAGAAAGATTTGAGTACAATACAGTGGTATACTAATGAGCAATAAAAAGGAAAGGTGGAAGAAACAACAATTCATACAGATACATGAATGAGTTACAAAAAGTATAATGCTCAGAGAAAAGAGTCACGTGCTTTAATTCCACTTGTGGGATGTTCTAGAAAAGACAAACCTCATCTATGGAGATGACAGTCATAACAGTGGTTGTGTTTCTGGGATGGAGTGGAGAGCAGAGAGGGGCTGACCTGGGAGGGCATGGAGGAGCTTCTTGGAGGGATAAAAGGTACTGTCTTGATGGAGGAGTGTGCTGCCTGGGTAGAGACTCTGGTCAATACTCTACCAGCAACCTTAAAGTCTATGCATCTCACTAAAAGCAACTTACAACTCATAAAAATCATTTAAAATTACTTGAATACAATGGCTTTTAAAATGTATGGTCAGCCAGCCAGGAGGCAGAAGCAGGAGGATGGCAAGTTCAAGGCCAGCCTGGACAACTTAGCAAGACCTTGCCTCAAATTAAACACTGAAAAGGCTGGGCATGTAGCTCAGTGGTAGAGCACCCCTGGGTTCAATAGCCATTACTGCAAAAAAATCAAAATAAAAGCCCCAGAGCACATATGGTCATCGTAGAGAATCAGAAAATTCAAAACAAACTAAAGAATTAAGAAAACTTGAATCTAATTATGAAATATGATATGTCAAGAGCTTTGTAATGTTTTGAACAACCAATAAAAAAAAGAAAACTAAACACTCATAGTTTATAGTAAATAATTTTAGTATTAGAGTAAACAATTTTAATACACTATAAAATGTAATATAAATAAAAGTTAACAAAGAGATTAGAGAAAGCATAAGATTAGAGTGAATACATAATTTCTGTATCCTAGTTCATTTATCATTTTATTTTGAACATTTTCTTATATTAAGTGGAAAAAAAACCCAGAATCCAAAAATATTATTTACCCTCTTATTACTACTGTTTAAAAATAATTTTTACAAGGCTGGAGCTGCAGCTCAATGGTAGAGCGCTTGTATCACACATGTGAGGCACTGGGTTCGATCCTCAACACCACATAAAAATAAATGAATAAAGAAAGATATTGTGTCCATCTATAACTAAAAAAATTTAAAAAATCATTTTACATGAGAGTAATGTCTAAAGTAAAATGATGTTAAATAGTGGGGAATTTCAACATTGTAGCTGTATCTTGTGATTTTCTTTTCATTTAAAAATGACCTTTCTCTGTCCAGTGAAATGACAGTCATGATGGAAAGACAGGTTCTAAACAAAAGAGGGAAACAACTGAGGTGATTCTTTAAAGCACACCAAAAAATCATTGGATTACAGTCTTTATGTAGAGGAAAGCTGTGAGCTTGCTGAAGATAGGAATAGTATCCATTAATGTTGAGTCCCCTGATCCTTAGTACTACACCCAGAACACAGAAAGGACTCCATAAACATTCTGAATAAATGTTCTTGTGTCCAGAGAGAATCAAGCAACAAGAAGTGGATTTTAAATTAAAGCGTAAGAGATTTGGGGTAAACATGAATAAGCCTTTGAGTGTCAGGGATCATGAAGAAAATTCTGGAATGTCAAATGCAAAAAACATTTTTTAAGAGTATATTCCGAGGCTGGGTTGTGGCTCAGTGGTGGAGTGCTTGCCCAGCATGTGTGAGGCACTGGGTTCAACCCTCAGCACCACATAAAAATAAATAAACAAAATGAAGGCATCATGTCCATCTAAAACTAATAATAATAATAATAATAATAATAATTAAAAAGTATATTCCCATGTGTTCAGGATAGTTTACATATCCATCTTCCTAAAAGAAGTCATCCAGAGCTGTCAGGATCTTTAGTTGTTCTCCAGGTATAAGTTGCTTCTTCTAGTATTTCTTCCCAGAAGACCAGGGATCGAAATCCCCTGCCTATTCAGAAACCTACTTTGGATGGGAGAAGAACAGATGGCCAACCTTAGGTATAGCCACATTTGTAGCCAAAAGGCTCCCCTTCCACATCAGCACTGAACTTCACAGAACTCTCAAAGGGATCCAATTTCATGCCTGTCCCATAGATCAGATAACCAAGGAGCCTGATCCTAATTGAAAGCAGGAGGCAGACGACCAGCACACATTACTAAGAAGCACCCCTTGGGATTAGCCTGACCCGATGGGGCCACATCAAAATGATCACAGTAGTCATCTCTTACTTTTCCTTTTTCTTTTGCCTAAATTGATCACGTAGTGCTTCTGCAGAGAGAAAACTTTAACTCATGTCTATGTTCTCATTTCTATATTCAAAAGAATTCAAAGGATTCTGTTTTTGAATTAATTTTCAGGGTCAAGTTACTCACTACCCCTGAAAAAAATTAAAATGGTGTTCAAAAAAAAGAAAAAAAGAAAGGAACTGCCCTCCTACTTCCTCTTTATTGAGCAAACAACACTTTGCTTAAATCAACAGTCCCTTGAATACACATCCTGTACCTGACTGTACCTGGCACTAGGTAGGGTGAGACACTCCACAACTTACCATTGCCACGGTTCTATGCCAAGATCAGAGTCCAGTCACGCGAGTAGAAGTTCCTCTAGAAAAAAAAAAAAAAAAGGAAGGTGAGATCACTGTGATGAGGAAAGTGGCCTTAAAAATAATTATGAGTCAGGATACCTTATGGTTTGACAAAGGCCAAGCGGAAAGGACATATAAATTCATCAAAAGAACAGCTAATGATTAGCCAAAGATACAAGGACCAGGCTAATCGTTAAAGAGGAACTGATATCAGAGTCACGTTTATTGTACCAACAAAATACTCTTCTGTTTGGAGATGCACATGACAGAAACAACCCAAGCTGTTTTGATAGGGTGAAGTACCATGACTAGTCCTCAAGCCAGAAATGGATTCTGAACTGTATTCTATGGTAGATCAGAAGATGATCAGATGGATTATCTCTCTTCTCTGTAGAGACAATCCATCTGTACCAGGAAAAAAAAAAAAAAGAAGTATAGCACTTCAGCCTACAGTGTGTGTGTGTGTGTGTGTGTGTGTGTGTGTGTGTGTGCAGGCCAGCCAGCCAGCCAACATTAGAATCTGTTTTTTCACAGCGGCTATTTTTACTGCCATCTCAGGATTAAAGATGCTGCTTCCCTTTCTTGCCGCCTCACACATTCAGCTTTGTCCTCCGTTTCCAGCATCCCCTTCATCATCAAGGAGACTTGAGTCACCCTACATTTCTTTCAGTCGTTTAGAATGTAAGAAACGTCTTTGCTGTGGGCTCACTCCTTTGTGGGGTTCTCATGACATATGGGCAGGCCCTGGAGGGGTAGGCCGACTGCCTTCTGTTCCTGTAAGTCACGTGGACAAAGCACTTTTTCTGAGCATTTAATTAGACCCTCAACATTCAAAGAATCATCTCAGAACCAGAAGTTTGGGCATCCTGGGAGCTTATTAAAAATGGAGAGCCTCAGGCCTCCACCCAAGACCTACTTCCCGAATCTTCATTTTAACAAGATTCTCCACATGTTTGTCTGCACAGTGGGTTGAAAAAATAATAATAATAATTGGCCTGGTCAACCCAACCAAGCAGCGCTTTTCAATGATAACTAAGACCCTCCTAACTCACTTATTAACTCTTCTGCCATGTTTGGTCCTGATTACTTACCATCCTCCAGCTTTCCTCAGGCCCAGTGCCTCGCTTCCTGGTTTCCCCACCACTTGCTGCACACTGACCTCACATTCTAAAGGGGTCCAGTTCCTTCCTACAGGGAAAGCCAACTGGTTCTGATGAACTTCCTGAGCAAAGAGCTGAGCCGGAAAGAGCAGTAGATTCTGTGACAATGAGGCTGCAGGAGCAGAAGGCTCCTTATAGAGTAGGCCCAGGGACAGGTTGGCAAAGCAGGGGAATTGATTGGTAAGGGCCTTGAATGCCCAAAGGAGGGGGGTGGGCTTGGTATGGGAAAGACAGTGATAAGCTGTTATTTTCTGAAAAAGGCAATGATAAAAGAAACACTTTATCAGGGTATATAACACAAGTGAGAGAGACTGGAATGAGGGACAAGGGGTCAGGAAGGCTTGAGAGATGACTATAGGAACAGCCAGGGAGAGGGGAAGACCTGGATATGGTGTGTCACCTGTAATATGATATACATGAGATGCTTAGAGGTGAGACCTTATTAGATATAGTGACTCATGAACTATATAATGCCACATTGCTCGCGACTAAAACACTCAGGGGTTACTCCAGGGGAACTGGGCTGCACCAAATAACCACACAAGAGACAGAGATACCTTTTTCTTTGGGTTCCTGTGATGGCTCCTCTGACCTTAAGGGTCCACAGAAAGAGAGAGAGGAGAGCATGCTGAACCCCTTTATTGAGGAGAAGCCATTCAAATGAGGCAAGGGGTCAGGTTCAGGGGGTTGAGTCTAGCTTCATGATGTCTGCTGTCAGCAGGTTGACTGACATTTAGGAAGGCCACACCCAAAGGCAGAGAAAGAGAAGGGGACATACAAAGGGCGTTTCCAAGGAACATTCTATCCCAAACAGGGTAAGGGGTAATATCTTAAAAGAACAGGTGAGCGTAGCTCAATCCCTGGGGATGTAGGAAGGCATGCCCATGCATGAAGACACATTTGCTTGCATTATGTCTAATCTCAAGATCGGGGCTACCATCTTTAGCTACTTAAGAGTGGCCAGATCACTGGAAGTGACTGACAGAGCCTCAACCAATCAGGAGAAGAAGAACACTGGTCACATGACGTGGCAGTCTCCCACAACATATTCTTTAAATCACCAAATATTCATAGACCATCTCTTATGTTCCAGGCACAGCTTCAGTCAATAGAAATAATGTAGTGGATACATCAAATAACCTGCTTTCAGGGAGCTTACAGTCTACCAGAAGAGGGAGAGAAAAACAAACAAATGAATACATAAGATAATGTCAGACACTAGGAAAAATAAAAACATGTCGAGACCAGCTCCAACAGGGGGTCTCAGGAGACGAACGGATGGTGAGGAGTCGGCGAAAGGGGGGTGGAGAAACAACACAGACACCAAAGTGAAGGTGTTGATCCCAATCTTTACTTGTGAAGTTGATCATATATACTTTTCATTTTGGCAGGCTCACAGTACTTTGTGGTTACAAAACAAGAATCATTATTCAAAGAAACAAAATATTACGTATCTACAATTAGAATAGAAGAATGTATCTTGGCTTATGCATAAGCAAGCATTTGTACTTTCAGTTCGCGTTTTGCTTTGAGCTGTTTCTGCTTAGTTAATTTTTAATAATAGTTAGAAATGTCCCAAACTATTGGCCTATACCTTGACTATTCTTTCTTGACTTACTGACTGGAACCGGTGCCATGGTTACAGCAAGTGGTTGACTTGTTATTAATTTTAATCAAACAAGAGTAAGAGCACAAACCACTGTGCACAGGAACAAGAACAAGTTGCCCAGTACTAAGCACTAATCTGTCTTCTTAACATTAATTTTTCTTCTCTAGATTTTAATTTAATTTCTCAAAAACTTCCTTGACAGGAATACAGGGAGTTTTTCATTAGACATTAACAATTTACGCTCCACAGCTGAATCATTGCATTTAGAGCAAACAGATCTATTCTTTAGAAGTAGTTGCATTAATTGGGAAAGTCATGTTTTTTCCTTCATACTTAATGGTCATATGAGAAATCGCAACTATACTTATTAAAGGAATACAAAAACAAACCAGCCCATTCCCAGAAACATACTGCGCTCCTCCAGAGGATGGACGCCTTGCGCCATCCACCTCAGTAGGGCCTTGCCATTGCCTGAGTCAGGGGAGGGGCGCAGCAAAAACATAACATAAGGATAATGGTATAGAGCAGGGAGCAGTCAAGCACAATCATTCATGGGTCAAATCCTGCTTTTGTAACCTACAAGCTAATGATGATTTTCACATTATCAAATAGTTGACCAAAAAAGAGGAATACTTCATGATATGTGAAATCGTCATGAAATTCAAACTTCAGTGCTATTAAGTTTGTTCTAAAGCTGCTCCCAATGCATCCTAAGTTTGGCTTTCAAGTTTATCCACACAGTGAATTGTAACCTAACTTAAAGAGCAAACAGACGGTAACCTACTCCTATAACAGGTAGCTGAGTCTTAGCCAATCATAGATGACTAACTTTCAACAATTCAACCCATCTTCAAATAAGAGGAGGACTAAAAACCATTAGGGCTGTCTCTGTACCTCAGTTTGGTGTTTTTTTTTTCTTGTTACCAGGGATTGAAATCCAGGAGCACTTAACCCCTGAGCCATATCCCCATCCCTTTTTATTTTTTATTTTGACATAAGGCCTCACTTAGTTGCTTAGGGCCTTGCTAGTTGCTGATGCTGGCTTTGAACTTTCAATCCTCCTGCCTCAGCCTCTCAAGCCACAGGGATTACAGGTGTGCATCCCGGCACCTGGCCTCATTTTGTTTTCTGCAAATCACTTTCTTTTCTCTGTCTATAAATAAAACCTGCCCATGTTATAGAGTGAGCATGCTGAACCATTTTGGATTTAGGCTAACCTGATTCTGGAATCACAAAAAAAAAAAAAAAAAAAAAAAAGCCAATTAAGATCTGCAAAACCAGATTTATAATTTAATCTTTTAACAGTTTCTATAAAGAGACTTATGCCTCATAACCACAGCCATTTAGTCTATAGCCACTTTTATGCTACAAGAGTAGTTGTAACAGAGATCATCATAGGGTTCACAAAGATGAAAATATTTACTATGATATGGAGGATCACAAGATAAGTTACCAGCCAGGAGCCAGCCAGGATGGGGATCTGGAAGGTGTCTTTGAAGAGATAATATCTGGGCTGAATTACCATTCATGAAAGTGATCACTTTTATGCACAATGAGCAGAGTGCAAAGGCCCTGAGGCAGAAAAAGCTTATTGTGTTTGAGGGAGGAACAAAAGTCTCCTGAACAAGTGCAAGAGTGGCAGAAGATGAAGATGGAGTAGGGTTACATGATTTTGTGACTTACAATAAGAAATATATATTTGGTCTTCATCTTGTTGCCCACCCAGAATTCCAAAAACTCTTGGAATTTCCTAAATGGTAAAAGAAACATCTATGTTATTCAGAACAAGCCCCTCTCAACCTCATCTGAGTTTGTATAAGGGGGTGACTTTTGGAAAAGTCCTAGATGACTACAGCATGGGGAACTGGTTGCCAGGAGACCTAACCATGTGATTTGAGGGCTGCAACTTTCACAGGAGAAAGGATCTGAAGATTGATTTAAATCACCAATGGCCGATGATTTAATCCACCATAAGAAAGCGTCCACCAAAGCTCCATGCCCCCTCGGAGCTTGTTCTGCCTGTTCTGAGTTGTACCCTTTTATAGAAACCTGATAACCTGGTAGGGCAACTGTTTTCCTGAGTTTTGAGAGCCATTCCAGCAAACAATTGAAAAGAATGAGTGCAGGGATTGTGGGAGCCTCTGATTTATGGCTAGTTGGTCAGAAGCAAAACCTGGACTGGGGATTGGCATCAGAGGTGGGGACAGTCCCATAGGACTAAGTCCTCATCTGTAATTCCAGGTAATATCA